CTGATCCCAGCCAGAATCTGGAGCAGTTCTGATTGAATCAAGAGGCAGGAGAGGTTCCCTTTGCTTTCACCTCAGCCCTATGACGCCTGCGATGTCTGCACCAGTCTTAGCACCTGGGTTCGTCTCATCTCCTGAGTTCTCATCCAGCCGTTTCCTTAGTCTAACATCCTGCATCACTTCAGTTGGACCCATTGGCTGCTGCCAGACTGGCCTCCTGTCTGCCTGAGACCTAGTCCAGTGCCATCACACACTCGCGTGCACACACACACTCCCCCAGGAGATGTCCTGGCTTAGAGAGGGGAGTCATTGGCCCTGAATAGGACCTGAGATCTTCAACTTGGAAAATAGGAAGTGTTAAAATGGAAGAGCTGTCTGAGCTGAAAGTGTCAGAGGATGATGGTACAAATACGAAGAGAGAGAAGGGAAGAAGGGTCAAGTCTGAGCCAGATCAGAGGTGGGATAAAGATTGAGACTTGAAGGCAGGGGTTTGGATGTAGGAAGGTAGAATAAAGTAAAAGCAGAACAGAATCAAAAAAAGGAACTGGAAAAGAGAAGTCTTAAGTGGCTACTTATTAGTGAATGGCATTTGTGGGCTCTTATTTTTTTAGTGTGGTGGCCCCAGCCAAGGGTAGAATGGACACCACCAACCACCCCCTTAAGCCCAGTTCTCAGGCAAGGCTTTGCAGGGGCTGTCCCAGGTTGGGCTGATGATAAGCCTGATCAAATTGGGGTTATTCCAGCTTTGAGAGGCCTGTTCCTATGTCGGCTGCTCCAGTCACATGCCTCCCCAGCCTAGCACAGGGGCTGGCACTGGCCATGGTCCTGACCAACACCTAGTGCTTTCCTGGCTGCTCAGGTTGGCTGGGTGCGGATAGGAAGATAATGGAGGATCTGATCTGAAAGAGGGTGAGGATGCTCATACTTGACCGTCTTGATTTACTCCTAGGGAGAAAGGAGAAGAGAGTGAAAGTGTGTGTTTGAGGAGAGAGATGATTTGGAGCAGTTACTCTAGGGCTTACTAGGGAGCCTCCAGGAGTTCTGAAGAGGATGACCAGGCAGCTGTGAGGTCTCAGTTAAAGTTAGACATCAGGAGCATGTCATGTGTCCAGTCATGCTTCTGGTTCTGAAGCTTTCCCCAGCAATGGTCACTATCATATCTAGGAACACAAAGGCTCCATGGTTCTGTAACACCATGCCCAGCACATGAATGAATGCACGCATTGGTGAGTGATGAAGTTCAGATGTAATGACAGAAGGACATAAACTCTGTGCCCAGATGTGAGGTGGCAGGTGTGTTTGAACTCAGATTTAGCAAAGGGAAAAGAAGAATCCTGTGCTTGGGAGCGGGGTGGTTCAGAACTGTTCCTGTGCTCAAATATGAGGATCGAGGGATCAGGAAAATTAACACAATTTTAAGGAAGAGAATTTGATGTACGTGTGCTGTGAGTAATTGGTAAGGATTTCTTGGTGCCTTCGCTTTTCCTTGAGGTTTAAAGATCTTTTCCTCATGTGGGAAGGCGTGGGGACAAGGGGCCAATATGCAGCTTAAATGGACCAGAAAGTAAGACAAAAACTTATAGAGCTGACGAGTTATGCTTCTGCCTAGGAAACAGAAAGCTAGAATCATGTAAAATAACACCCCAAATCATAAAATATTTAGGTAAAAATTTAACAATATATGTGTAAGATTCGTATGCTAAAAACTGAAAACACTGATGAGAGAAATCATAGAAGAAACAAATAAATGGACAGCTGAATTGTGTCCATTGCGTGGAACACTCAACAGTGTTGTCTATTTCCCCCCAGAACTAACCCATAGGGTCAATGCAATCCCAACTGAAAGCCCAACAGGTTTTTGGGGGTGAGAAGAAGAGGATTAGAAGCCCACAAGCTGATTTTATATTTTACATGGCAAAGCAGAGTAACTAGAATAGTCAAAACAATTTTGAAGAACCACTGTTTGATTTTAAGACTTACCGTAAAGCTACAGTAAGTTATCATGACAGTGTGATATTGGAGAAAGAATAGACATATGGATCAATGGAACAGAACAGTCAGAACTAGACCTACATGTCAATTGATTTTCAAAAAATATACTAAGGTAATTCAATGAAGAAAAGAAAGTCTTCTCAACAAATTATGCTAGTACAATTGGACATCCATATGTTGAAAAAATTGCAAAGTGCATCTTATGCCACATGCAAAAATTAATGAAAAATGAATAATAGACCACAATGCAAAGCCTAAAACTATAAAACTTCCAATGGAAAATATAGGAGGAAATATTTGTGACTCTGAGGTGGGTAAACTTTTTAACAGAGCACAGAAAAGCACAAATTGTAAAAAGAAAAATCAAGGAATTGGACTTCATCAGCAATAAAATCTACCCATATAGGCTGGGGGCAGTGGCTCATGCCTGTAATCCCAGCACTTTGGGAGGCCGAGGCAGGCAGATCACCTGAGGTCAGGAGTTTGAGACCAGCCTGGCCAATGTGGTGAAACTCCGTCTGTACTGAAAATACAAAAAAATTAGCCAGACGTGGTGGCAGGTGCCTGTAATCTCAGCTACTTGGGAGGCTGAGGCAGGATAATCACTTGAACCTGGGAGGTGGAGGTTGCTGTGAGCCAAGATCTCGTCATTGCACTCCAGCCTGTGTGACAAGAGCAAAACTCTGTCTCAAAAAAAAAAAAAAAAAAAAAAAAAAAAAAAAAAAAAAAGATGTTGCTAATGCTGCTAAGCAAATGAGAAAAAAAGTTACAGACTAGAAGAAAATATTAGCAAATCACATATCTGATAAAGGACTGCTATCCAGAATATGAAGAATTTTCACAGCTCAATAGTAATGATAATAATAAACAATTACAAATGGACAAAAGTGTTGCACTTTGTCAAAAGTACTTTGCTGAAGAAGGTACAGATGGCAACAAACAATAAAAAGATGTCCAATATCATTACTCATTAGAAAAATACAAGTTAAAATTGAATGAGATATCACCTTACACCTATTAGGAAGGTTTTTTAAAACCTGACAATATTAACTGTCGACAAGGAAGTAAAAATGGTACAGCCTCTTTGGAAAAGACTTTGGCAACTTTCATAGACTTAAACATACACTTACATGTGACCTAGCACTCCCATTCTTAGGATTTTATCCAAGGATAATAGAAACATACGTCCACACAAAATATATGTACATGAATGTCATAATTGTCCCAAACTGGAAAAAACCCAAATGTCCATCAGCAGGTGAATGAATACGCTACTTGTGGTACAACTATAGAATGAAAGATGGTTTAGCAATAAAAATGAATACATTCTTGAGAAATGCAACGTCACGCATGCTGAATTTATTCTGATGAGTGAAAGAAGACTGATCCAAGAGGCTACATACTGTTTAATTCCATGTCTATGACATTTTAGGAAGAGCAGGACGCTACAGACACAGATGTCAGCTCAGTAGTTGCCAGGCCCTGGATTAGAGAGAAAAAGACTGGCTAAAATGGGCACAAGGGCTCTCGCTTGAGTGAAATGAACCTTTCTATATTATGGTATTGTGTTACATAGACCTGGTGATTGTGGTGGTTGTTATAGAGATGCTTGAGTTTGTCAAAATTTATACAAGCAGACATTTAAAAGGGTTAAATTTTTGTATATGTAAATTATGGGCCAATAAACCTCACTTTTAGAAAAAGACCCTAGAAGAGTACCTACAGAGTGATCTTCAGCCCCCAGACCCTTGGGGCAAGGCTGGGCAGTTGACCCTTTGAGTGGAGGCCTGTCTTCTCCTCTCTATGAACTCCCCATCTCCAAGCACATTCCCTGTCCATAAGGTAGATGCACCGTAAATATGAGTAAATAAATGAATAAAAGAACAAAGAAGTGAGTGTTTGCAGGAAACTAAAGTAGACCCTGACAATCTACAGGCTCCTGCAGGCTTCTCCAGCCTCTTCTGCCACTCCCAGCACAACTCCATTTCCCACTCCTAGAATTGCCTCAAGCCTCCCCATCCAATCCCTGACTCACTGGGCCATTTCACACCTCTGTGCCTTTGCACATGTGGGTCCCTGTGCTTCGATCACGCTTCATGGGAACCTGTACCTGTAGGAAAACACACCCCTACCCCCAGAACTCTGGGAAATACCCTGTCCTTTCCTGTAGGATAGGATGATCAGGAGTTCAGGCAGGTGTGTGCACAAAATAAACACCAGTGTGAGCTTGTGTGCACAGGAGACACCCCACAGTTCCAAGAAGGCTAAACCTGGGCAGAAAACTCCAGGTGGGAGAGAAAATTCTCTGTCTTATAGACAGCCCATTTCCCTTTTCCCTGCTAACTAGGATAATGGTAATAGTTAATATTTGTTGAATGCTGTGTGTCAGGCCCTACTGGAAAGCACTTTACCTGTAGGAACCCATGTGGTGCTCCTGATAACCCTTTGCACTATCGTTATTCCCACTGTATGGATCAGGGAACAGACACAGGTAGGTTTTGGATGTGTGGTTACACACCCAGAAAGGCAGGAAGTCTGGCTCCAGAGCTGTGTACTGAACCGCTGCCACATTGCAGGAATGACGGCCCTGGAGGGAAGAACTAAGAGGGGCTGGGTGAGGGTCCTGGCTTCTGAGGGCACAGCTGTTCTCCAACTCTTGCAAGGCTGAAACCAGAAGACAGCAGGCATTGCAGCTGGTGGAGGGTCTGAATACTGCTGTGAGGATAGTGATTCCTGGGCTAGGCTCTGCAAGGAAACTGAGCAGTGCAGGGCCTTACCAGCCCCAGCCATCTGGGGGCCACCCTGGCTGGCACCAGCAGGAGGGTGGGCTGGCTTCTCAGAGGTCTGGGAGACTCAGGCTCCTTCTGCCAGGGCTGCAGTGGCCGACTCCTCCTCCCCCTCCCTCCCCACCCTGCACCGCCTCCAGACCCCAGTCCTGACTATTGCTTAATCCCCAGGAACCCAGTTCCTGTGGGCAGCGCCTGACATGCCTGATCCTCTCTTTTCTGCAGTTCAAGGGAAAGACAAGATCTTGCACAAGGCACTCTGCATCTGCCCTTGGCCAGGGAAGGGTGGCATGGAGCCTCTCCGGCTGCTCATCTTACTCTTTGCCACAGGTAGGATCTTCTCCGTGCCCTGTGATGCCTTCTTTCCCTCACTTTGAGTATGTGGTTAGGGAGCAGGTGGTGGGCCCTGGGGTGAATTACGAAGGCGGTGGCAGTCCTTGGCATGCCTGAGTGCCCTCTTCTACACTCCTCTCCTCCCCAACCTGCCCATATTCTTCACACCCTCCTTCCCTCCCCAGTATCAAAACCCACCCTCAGACTCTTCCTGCATGTGGACATGTAAGGGGCTGGTGGACTCTGGTTGCATTGGAAGGGAAGGAGTGCTAACAGTGGCATCCCAGGCACTAGTTGGCAGTTGGGGGAAGCTTTCGGGGGGCGCCGGCACTGATAATAGCCTCTGAAATTATAAGCCACTAATTATGAGCCCCTGCAGTTATAAAAGAGGAAAGAACATGAGGATGTTCACCTGCATCTTTGGGGCACTGTCTCCCCTGCTCTGAAGGTCCTCTTGTCCTCAGCTCTCGATGGGAGGTGAGGGGCCTGGAGATTTCCATCACTGAGTTGCGGCGAATTGACACACCAAATTTTTGTACACAACTGCTTCTTCCCACTGAGGGAAGTGAACCTTTTGCTCCCCCACAGCGTTGGACAAACCTGGGCAAGAGGAGAGATAGTGCCAAATGGAGTCTTGTTCCTGCAGCTTTAGATGGTGTGGGGGCGGGGAGGAAGGTGGGGTCCTGAGGCATGGATGGGAGGTGGTAAGGTGGGAGAGGGCCACTGCCCATATGGTCTCTCTAGTTCCAAAAGGCAGGCCACCAGCTTCCCAATCCTATCTTTCAAGCCTCTGTCACAGTAATGGTTGAAGATGGCAGGCAAGGGAGGACCAAGAGAGGAGAAGTCAAAGCAGGGGGCTCTGGGGGCTTCTGCTGCAGCTCCTGCCCCAGCAACAAGCTGGTGCTCTAAGCCCATCTCCCCCGCCCTAAGGAGGGTTCCCAAAATAGCAGCCTCATGTCTCCCCCAAAATATCTCCGAGACGGGTCCTTCCTGAAAGGGGAACAAAGCCACAGAAATAGGGAAGCTGGAAGCTAAAGGTCAGGAAAGTCGGTACCAGTGTGGGCGGCTGCAGAGCAAGCAAGAGTGGCGGGGCAGGGAGAGCCAGCCCCAGGCCGAGAGGAGAGATCCTAGTCCCGTATGACAGCAAAGAGATGTGCAGAACAGAACTGGAGGGGATTTTAAGACCAAGTGTCTCCAGAATAGACCCAGGGAGGGTCAGTTACGTCTCCAAGGAGGCCCAGCAACACCAACTGTGAGAAAACCAAACCCAGGTCCCAGGTTTCCTGGTTCCCAATTTCCCACAAACGCATGCTGTGCCACCTGCTCCCAACTTGCATAAGAACCTAAGCTCCTTCAGGGCAGGGTTTTTGTCTGTTTAGGTCACTGCACAGCGCAAGTGTTCAATGCGTATTTGGTAAATGAAGGAGTGAATGAATGTCTCCTCCCCAGAGCTGTCTGGAGCCCACAACACCACGGTGTTCCAGGGCGTGGAGGGCCAGTCCCTACAGGTGTCCTGCCCCTATGACTCCATGAAGCACTGGGGGAGGCGCAAGGCCTGGTGCCGCCAGCTGGGCGAGAAGGGCCCATGCCAGCGCGTGGTCAGCACGCACAACTTGTGGCTGCTGTCCTTCCTGAGGAGGCGGAATGGGAGCACAGCCATCACAGATGATACCCTGGGCGGCACTCTCACCATTACACTGCGGAATCTACAACCCCACGATGCGGGCTTCTACCAGTGCCAAAGCCTCCATGGCAGTGAGGCTGACACCCTCAGGAAGGTCCTGGTGGAGGTGCTGGCAGGTGAGTGGGCAGTGGCTGCCTCTCTGGCCTGCCCCTGTTCCAAGCCTCATGTTTTGGGCATCTGTGTGCAGAACCACCCACTGGGCTCTCAGGAATCCTGGGAAAACCCATCGTGTGGGTCTCATCTCCCTACTCAGGGCTACCAAGGATAGTTGTGCAGGTTGCTCACTGCACGAGAGGGCCAAAATCCACTCCCCAGCCCGGACTCCTTTTGCCAGACTGTGTTCCCTGGTGCAGAGCTGCATCACCTGCAAGAAGGGCACCTTTCTCTACTTTGCATTAAGGCACTCTGTGAACTAGCCTGGCCTTGGCCCTGCTTGCCCAAACAGCTTTATCCATCTCCATCCAGTTAGCATGTGAACATGATGGGAGGTCCTTAAGGAGGAGGAGGAGATTAATTTATTCCCTCACCAACCAACCAGTGGTCCTATCAACGTAAGTGAAGCACCAACCTGGTACAGAAAATCACCCCTAGAAAAGTACACTGCTTGTGCTGGGCAATGTGCTTCCCTTCTCTGGGCCTCCATTCTCTCATCTGTAAATGGAGAGGGTGGTGTCTGTCCTGCTGACCCCACAGGGTTCCGGTGAGTTTGTGTTGTGGGGGAGGGCAGTTGCGGGCAGGGTGTGACATGTGCTCCAAGCCTCCTGCTACTGAACTGTCTTGGGATCGCCATTCCAGGTGGGAGTAGGTGGGCCACGGTGTCTCCATCCCCGAGCTTTGCGCAGGGACCACCCTCCAAGAAGGCTTTCTGCTTGAGTCTTCAGAACACAACTGTGTCCCCAAAGGAGAACAAATCTGGGACTACAGAGGCCCTTTCTGACTCTCCTCTTTTCCAACCCCTTCTCCCAGTATGGCTCTTTAGCATGGAAATGAGGTCAGGAGTAGTATTTGCCTGATGTGGGGAGGTCAGGCGAGACTGCCAGTCCTAGACACAAACCCCACCTCCACCACTTTTCTAAGGATGGCAGGAGGCAGTGAACTCCCTTAGCCAACTCCCAAGAGGGAGACAGAAAAATGAAAGTAACCCATAGCTTGTGTAGATAGCTTGACAGTTTAGATAGGATTTTCAAGTACATCCATGATTGCATTTGCTCTTCTTAGCCCCTGTGCAGAAGGAGGGGGGAGTTGTAGTTACTGAGTTCCAATGAGGTGCTAGACACTGCCCAGAGGTGCCCTCATGGAATCCTGGTAACCCTGCTATTAAGGAAGTATTCCTAACTGCCCACTTTATAAGTGGGGAAATTGAGGCTTATGGAGTGTAATGACTTGATCCACATAGGACCAGTGCCCAGGGGACCTCACCCCACCCATAAAGGTTCCCCCCTGCCTCAAGGAGGAAGGGGCTGGAGGCTCATGGCTCTGCCTCCCATAGACCCCCTGGATCACCGGGATGCTGGAGATCTCTGGGTCCCCGGGGAGTCTGAGAGCTTCGAGGATGCCCATGTGGAGCACAGCATCTCCAGGTACAGCGATGGTTCTTTCCTAAAACCCGTGGGCAGACTTCCACCCTGCAGAGCCCCACAGGGGATGGGGGTTGGGCATCCTGAACCACAAATTACAAGGCAACTAGAGCCTGAAGGGCCCTGGATGTGTCTTATCTAAACACCCCTCCACCAGCTGCTACATGTTAGTTAGTTAGTGTGACTGTGTCAGTTGTTCATTTATTGGAAGACTTCTATAATGGTTTGTAAAGAGCAGCTGCTCTAAGACTCCTGAATGCCAGCTCCCGCCCCTCCACTGGCAGCCCCAGACATCCCCATAATTCAGTAACAATGAAAGTTTTAGTACTTTAGTACAAAGCTAAGACCCCCGATCTCTGCTTCTTTGGTAGGACCAGAACCAGTCTGACTGGTCCATGCCTGTGTACTGGTGTTTAAACGTTGCTCATATAACCACTGAGCACACATGTGTGTACACACACACCCCCATGGCATAGCACTGTATACAGAAGAAAACTGCTCAGTGAGGGAAGGTGGTGTGTTTAAGTGCACTCAGCAGGTTAGTGGCAGAGCATGCCTAGAACTCAAGTCTCTTGACTATGGGCTCTCAAAGCCCCAAAAAGACCCATCCCAGGGATGGTGCTGGGTGGGGAGGTGTGCTGAGGTCCTAGAAGCTCCTGGTTTCTCCCCATTCCCTGAGAGAAGATTCTAATCTGTAGGCCATCTCAAGGCTCCCATCTGCCCTCTTGTCTCTCCAAGGAGCCTCTTGGAAGGAGAAATCCCCTTCCCACCCACTTCCGTCCTTCTCCTCCTGGCCTGCATCTTTCTCATCAAGATTCTAGCAGCCAGCGCCCTCTGGGCTGCAGCCTGGCATGGACAGAAGCCAGGGACACATCCACCTAGTGAACCGGACTGTGGCCATGACCCAGGGCACCAGCTCCAAACTCTGCCAGGTGAGCTTGGAGAGCACAGCCAATCGAAGGTGGACTTGGCAGGGATGGGAGGTGGTGCTGAGAGGGGCCACATGAGTCCTTGGACTATTGCAGGGCTGAGAGACACGTGAGGAAGACGATGGGAGGAAAAGCCCAGGAGAAGTCCCACCAGGGACCAGCCCAGCCTGCATACGTGCTCCTTGGCCACCAGGACTCCTTGTTCTGCTCTGGCAAGAGACTGCTCTGCCTGGACACTGCTTCTCCTGGACTCTGGAAACAGGGAGTGTTTGAGGGAGCGGGGAGGTGGTAAGAACACCTGACAACTACTGAACACTGGACATTTTAAACACTCACAAATAAACCCAAGACTGTCCTATTTAACTGGATAGTTGTGGGCTTCATGAAAGTCTCATTTTCTTCCACAGGGGTAAGAAAATGAATCTGGATGAGAAAAAGATAAGAGATCTTGCTCCTTGAGGCCCAGGACCACAGGATACCACATCCCTCCATTCTCACAGGCTTCAATCGCCCAGTTTTTTTCTTCTCTCTCCTCCCTTCCCTAGATCTGATTGCCAAGTTCTGCCTCCTCCTCTGGGGTTTCTCTAGCATCCAGTCTTCCTCTGCTCTCCTCCCCCGCATTCACCCTCTCCATCAGCTTCCCCTGGATTATGGGACGTCCCTGCCTCAAGGCCCCCTCCAGCTGACTCTGTTCCTCCCCATCAAGGTCAACTCCTGGCAGACTCATCCATTCATCTCCTTAGAACTCTGTTTTTATCATGTCACTTCGCCTTTGGAGAAATGACAAGGGCTTCATAATGTACAGCATATCAAACTGGGAACTGATGGTTCAAGCCCCTCATCATATAGAAGGGAAACTGAGGCTCAACAAGGGAAAGGAACTTATCCAAAATCCCCAGCCAAAATCCCCAGTAGAGCCTGGAAATCCAAATTTCACTTGGCATTCAAGGTGGTCTTTCCTCTAACTCACTCCTACTTATTTATTCAACAAGTATTAGTTTGAGCAACTAGTCTGTGGCGAGTGCTATTCTGAACACTGGAAATACAACAGTGGATGAAGCAGGCGAGAGTTGTGCCCGCACAGAGCTCACTTTAGTGGGAGGAGAGGAGACAGACAATGCACACAGTAAATAAGTCAATCTGATCACCTGTTAGAGGCAAAACGTGCTGAAGAAAAAAATTAAAATCAAGCAGGGTTAGGAGTATGGGTGTGCAGGAGGCACAGGGGATGATACTATCTTAAATGCAGCAGCCAGAAGGTGAGGAACAGTTGAAGGAGGCCACGAAGTGAACCATGAGGACATCACAAGGAGGAGTATTCGGGGCGAGCGAACAGCCAGGGCAGCTCATGCAACCTCATCTCTCTCTTCAACACACACACCACCCTGGCCAAGACTCTGGGGGAAACTGGGAGGAGACTCCCCTGAGGGTGAGCTGCAGGGGAAAGAAGTGAGTCGGCCACATTCTTAGGCTCTCTGGACTGGGCCCAAGAGAAGTGGATGCCCAGGATCCCCTGTGGCCACCACTCACATGGCTGCTTTGCCACCTAACCTGGGCTTGGGCCCCTAAGGTTTAAATCACCAGGATGGAGCTCCCGGCATGGCCCTCATGTTCCAGCCTCACTTCAACATGTCACTCCCCTGGCTCCAGCTGTGCCCCAACCCTGCCTTGTCCACACCCAATGTAAGCTGCTCCATTGGCTCCCTGCCCTGGAGCCTTAGGATTCTGGTCCAGTCTGTGTTCCCATGGCCTGCCTGGCTCAGGGGCACATTAAACTTCCTTATTGTGTCCTGGGGCAGTGCCCCCTTCCTATAGATCCAGGGCACAGGTAGACACCAAGAATGAGCCGAGCCCAAATTGCACCTTCTCCACCTCCCTCCCACCCCAGTTGTGGGCACCAGTGCTGATGACATGGCCTGGGAGGCTCCCCGCAGCCTGCCTTGTGCTCGAGGGCAGTGGCTGCCATCAGCCCCAGCCCAGAATCAGGCTTTCCTCCTCATGGGAGCTTGGACTTTTCTCTTTCCTTCTCTGCCGTGTCAGAGACATTCCCCTCTGGATTGGAATCACCCAGGATCCCCTGCCTCAGACTCTCTGGGAGCACTCTGGACTGAAGGGGAGTGAGGCCATTTGGCCTCAAATTTCAACTCTGCCTCCTATTAAGACACCTTAGGCAACCTCCTCAATCCCTCTAAACCTCAGTGCCCTCTCTTGTAGAAATAAACAAACAAAACAACCACTTCCCCTACTTTGCAAGGTTTTTGTGGGGTTGAAAGAAATAACATTTGTGGCCGGACATGGTGGCTCACGCCTGTAATCCCAGCACCTTGGGAGGCTGAGGGGGGTGGATTACTTGAGGCCAGGAATTCAAGACCAGCCTGGCCAACATGGCAAAAACACTGTCTGTACAAAAAAAAGGAAAGACAAAAATTAGTCGGGCATGGTGGTGCGTGCCTGTAGTCCCAGCTATTTGGGAGGCTGAGGCAGAGAATCGCTTGAACCCAGGAGGCCAAGGTTGCAGTGAGCCAAGATTGTGCCACTGCACTCCAGCCTGGGTAACAGAGTGAGACTCTGTCTCAAAAGAAAAAAGAAAAAGAAAGAAATAATATTGTGAAGGTCCTTGGCCAGGTGACTGGCACATAGTAGGTCCTCAATAAACACTGGTTTCCTCCATCTAATGCCCAGCAACATGATGCCTCTGTGAAGGCCAGGAACTTGCCTGGTCACCTCTGTCCCAGCACCCAGCAGTGGACCATATTCAACACTTAGTCCAGCGTTGAATACAGTTCACCTCTTCATACAACATGCCCGGGTGGCTTGTTAGTATGAAAATAACTTCCCTATAAGGCAATCAGAGAAAGCCTGGTATGCATTGGCAAGACGGATGCAAGCACATCACCAACTAGGGTGACCCGTTCTGGTTTGTTCAGGACTTTTTCAGTTTTTGCACAGAAAGTCCCATGAAACCCCTCAGTCCCAAGCAAAAAGGGGAAGTTGGTCACCCAATCTTCCACTTCTACAAGGCCCAGTTTAACACATTAACTAGTTTTCTTAAGCTCCTGCTCCCAGTTTCCCATTCCTCACTCCCTTGTTCCCAAAGGAAGGAAGGAAAAAGAGGAAAAAAGGAGGTGAGAAGGGAGGAGATGGGAGTGAGGGAGAACGGCCTTTCCAGACCCTTTTCTAGGTCTTACCCTCCAGATTAGAGCAATACTCCCCTGTTAACCATCCCCAGCTGCTGTAGTCTCTTTGACCACTGGTGCTTCCCCTATGTCTGAGGTCAGATAGTTTATTAGGTTTATTACTCACACTTTGTCCCAGTTCCCTGAGCCCATTTCCACAGGGCAACATGAATGAGAGCCAGGAGTCTCCTGTGTAGGCAGTGAGCTTGGATCACAGGAGAGAAACCCCCAAATTATGAGACTTGGAGTTTATATAGAGAATTTGGTGTATCTCCCTCTCTGGAAGAAAGAGAGAGAGAGAGAGAGAGAGAGAGAGAGAGGGAGAGAGAGAGAGAGAAACCTTTACTGTGGAATGTAAACAAATCTCTGGTGAAGAAGAGGAAGAATGCAAGCAAATCTCTGGATGTTGCACTCAAGGCATGTTTGCTATTCAATCACCCGCCAACAAAACTTGGCCAGTACCCTTTGCACGGAAGGACTAGAACATGCAGCAATGTGAAAATATTCATGAAGAATTGTCTTCCAACAGAGAAGATAGAGCATTCATGAAACAAAAATAGTATGCCAGAATTTTAAAATGCTCAAAGAACGAGGAATATCTTGTCTTGTAAATTAAAAATATTTTAAAAAATAACATTTTAAAAGACAAAAATAGAAGGATGGAAGAAAAATGAGGACATCTCCTTGAAGGCAGAACAAAAGAGAGAAAAACATGGAAAATGAGAGAGAAAAGATATAAAAATGAAATGAACACACGACGTTCAATAACCAACTAGTTAAGGAGTTGCAGAAAAAGGGAGGGGGAGAAGAAAATGGACATGTAATTATGAAAGAAATAATTCGTTTCCTAGAACCGAAGAATGTGGATCCAGATGGAAGGGGTCTAGAGTGTCCAGGACAATAAATGAAGAAAGACCCAGTCCAGGGTACAGGATCAAGGTGAAACTTCCTGTTTGAGGTTGTACTGCATGCAAGGACAACCTCTTAAAAGCTTGGGTGGTGGGGCAGCACTCCCAAAGAATTGAGAGTGAGAATGGCATTGGGTGAGGTGCAGGGCACTCTACCTTCCTCCGTCACAGCTGTGCACCCTCAGATTCTGTATTAGGAAGATCCTGAAGATCATCTTTCCTCTTTCTCTCTTGTCCTCCAATTGTCACAATCCTCCCATCTCACCCCTTAGCTGGGCCCCAGCCACTGCAGGCTTCTAGCTTTCTTTGGGTCTTCTCATCCTTTCTTGCCCACCCTTACCCTCAGGGCAGTTCCTGAGCACTGAGCCAACCAGGGCTTGGAAGAACTCCCTTTCCCCACTCCTGGAGGTGCCCATCATTTCCTGTCTCCCACCCCATAGTCACTGAGAACCCCACGTGACTGTCTGAGGCAGATGTTTCCTGCCCTCAGGGGAATGCTGTGTCAGTCCCCAGGCAAGCCCAGGAGTTGACATTTCTCTGCCCAGCCATGGGCCCCAACCTGCTCTTGCTGCTGCTCCTGGGACTAGAAGGTAAGGTTCAGGAGGAGCTGCAGCTCCGGGCCCCATATGCTCAGCCCCATGCCCAGGAGTAAAGTGTTATTGTGAACGCCACACCCATACCAGCAGCTGGGCTGGGAGGTGCTCCCAGCTCCTGCCCACAATTCCCACCTCCTTTTCTTCCCCAGGTCAGGGCATAGTTGGCAGCCTCCCCGAGGTGCTGCAGGCACCTGTGGGAAGCTCCATTCTGGTGCAGTGCCACTACAGGCTCCAGGATGTCAAGGCTCAGAAGGTGTGGTGCCGGTTCTCGCCGGAGGGGTGCCAGCCCCTGGTGTCCTCAGCTGTGGATCGCAGAGCTCCAGCGGGCAGGCGTACGTTTCTCACAGACCTGGGTGGGGGTCTGCTGCAGGTGGAAATGGTTACCCTGCAGGAGGAGGATGCTGGCGAGTATGGCTGCATGGTGGATGGGGCCAGGGGGCCCCAGATTTTGCATAGAGTCTCTCTGAACATACTGCCCCCAGGTGAGTTATCCTAGGCCAGCTACCACCCCTTGGACCTACCCTCCCCACCCCCACCTATTGCCAGGGCTCTTGGGTTCTTGAGGAGTGGGGGCCCCTGGGGAGGAGGCATTCGGAGGAGATATCCTCTTGACAGCTCTGCAGGGAGCGGAAACCAAACTGGGTGGGAAGTCTGAGATAAATCAGCTAAAAACCATCCCCTTCCCCCTTCCACACTAGTGTGCTTCCCAACAGGAAGGCGTGTCCTTCCCACCCCAGGGACTTGGTCCCTTCTTCCAGTATTTTCAACATACTTGATGCTAATTTATTTTTTAATTAGAAATATTTTAAACAATGTTGAATCTGAGTATATAAAACCAGAATTAATTTTTGTAGCTTTCAGTGTTTTATTCCTGTAATAGTGGGCTTGGCGGCTTAAGAATTATGGAATGCATACCTTATTTAATTTTATAAGTCTTCACAGGGCATCTAGTATGTCTCACCTACAAGTGGGTACATTCAGTACCTGAACTACTTCAACTCCTTTCGTTTTAAAAATGGAAAAAGTGTCATTCATATTTTAAGCCAATATTCTTGACCCTATTTTCAGTATTAAAGACACTGTTTTTGCAGGTTTCATTCCCACAGCCCATAACTTTTCTAGTATACAAGCATTTATTAAAAGAAAATTTTAAAATATTAAAAAGTTGGGTTTTTTTAAAGAAAGATAGGATGTTCTAAAAATAAAGTTCTGGAGGGAAAATGGTCAGCTACCTCAAGCACAGACAGCCACTCCTTTTCTTTTATGGAACTGGCCATTTTTTCACCTTTAGGTCTTCCTTTTCTCAAGTATTTTATGCCCAATCCCCAAATAAAATTAAGTAGAGCATTTTCCCTTCCCTTGTTTTTTGTTTTGTTTCATTTTGTTTTGTTTGAGACAGGGTCTCACTCTGTTGCCCAGGCTGGACTGCAATGGCAGTATTGGCTCACTGCAACCTTGGACTCCTGGGTTCAAGTGATTCTTGTGTCTCAGCCTCCCGAGTAGCTGGGACTACAGGTGCCCGCCACCATGCCCAGCTAATTTTTGTATTTTTAGTGGAGACGGGGTTTTATCATGTTGGCCAGGCTGGTCTTGAACTCCTAACCTCAAGTGATCTGCCCGCCTTGGCCTCCCAAAGTGCTGGGATTACAGGCATGAGCCACCGCCCCAGCCCCTTCCCTTGTTTTTTTCCCTCTAAATAAGAGGGTAGACTATGTTGTCATTAGAATCCTTCTCATCTCAAGCCCGTGGTTATTGTCTTATATTATAAATATATTGTTAATCCTTGTCATTCTTTGCCCTCCTCATTCCTTGACACTTTGAGTTACTAAATTCAGGTTCTAACTCCCTAAAAGGCGAATTGTGACAAGAGGAGACTCCCTGGGAGGAGGGTCAGGGAGGCAGGGAGCTGGGCCCCCAACCTGCTGCTATGGGGCAGGTGCTGTGGAGAATGATGTTCAGGCAGGCAGGTGGCACATAGCATCCAGAGATGATGTGGCTTGCAGCTCAGGCGAGCATTTAGCTTCAGAGAAGGTGGTCAAAGGCAGCCTAATAGGCACCAGGAGGGCAGGACATGTGCCACAGCAGCCCCAGTTCCTGGTGTGGCATAGGAAGGGGAGTAGGAATGGTAAATCTCTCAAGAACAAGGCAAGGCCCCATTCCAGTCGGTCTGAAAGGACTGGCCACGTTCCTAAGACAAGTCTCCAGGCCCAGAGAAACCAACCCCAAGTCCTACAGCCAGAAGTCAAGCACATCCTATGGGTGACAGAAGCCTTGTCCTCAAACTGAGTCTCAGGATCCCAGCAAGCCTCTCAGCAAGGGTCAGTTAGTTAGTGTTGCATCACATGAGGACCCACCCAGATTTCCTTCAGTCCTGAGGGCAGAGCTTGGGCTGGGGTTGCAGGGTTGCAGGTATGTGAGGAGGCCCCATTTAAGACCCATGAGAGCCAGGAGCTATGTCACCCTGAGGATGAGAACTGGAGAAACCTATTCGGGTGGGAAGGAGAGGTGGGTACAGATCATCCAGTAGGTGTTTTTACACAGACTGAACAGCTTGATAAGGCCAGAAGGGTGAGGGGTAGAGCAAGTAAAAGGGAAGAAATGCAGCGGGAGGATGGGGGGAGCTGGTGGTACAGGGAAAAGTGGGTGTAGTCACAACCAGGTAAAGACATAAAAAGCCAGTGCCATTTCCTGACCTGTGGAATGACAGGCCCCTAAAGAACATCCCATCCTCCCCTTTCTGTGTTTCTTCCTGGGGTCCTCTCCTTCCTTGGCTCCACTCCTCCAGTCCCTATAACTCAACAGGATATTGAAGCCTGCCCACATGGGCATGCACTCATTAAATGTTTCCTTCTGACTCCGTTCCTGGCCTGACAGAGGATGAAGAAGAGATCCATAAGATTGGCAGTCTGGCTGAGAACGCATTCTCAGACCCTGCAGGCAGTGCCAACCCTTTGGAACCCAGCCAGGATGAGAAGAGGTACTGACAAGATTGGATTTGGGAGGCCAGGAAAAGGGTGGTAGTGGAGACAATGACTTGTTTAGAGCTCCCAACTAAATCGAAGGGGAAAACCTATGATTCTTCCCACCTCTGGGGAACTTCTGGACAGACGACAGACAGATACATACTTCTCTGTCCTGGTTCAGCAATGGTCCCTTCATGCTGGTGAATCTTCAGCCAGGACACCTTAATGAGTCCCTCTTCTGCCCTGCCTCAGTCAGCCCTCCTCATTCTATTCCATCTCCCTCTCCCAATCGAGAATGTAACCCTTCTGTCGCTGCTCCAGGGCTCCTGGCCAGCAGCTCCCCACAGGCTTCAGGTCTAAGCCTACCTATCCCTTTCTGTTCCTCAGCATCCCCTTGATCTGGGGTGCTGTGCTCCTGGTAGGCCTGCTGGTGGCAGCGGTGGTGCTGTTTGCTGTGATGGCCAAGAGGAAAAAAGGTAGGTGGCTATCTTCCTATCTCAGCCTGGCCCTACCATTCCTGTATCAACCAGTTGTGTAGATAAGGCCAGGAGTCTAGGTCCAATCCCCCTACAAATGGATTTACCTGGGCTTAAGTCTCAAGGCCCCCATATCCTAGAATTTCCAGGGCTGAGGGATGGAGGGGAGGGAAGGAGATTCAATGGGAGCAGCCTGCAGAAAGACAGGAATTAGAAACGGTGGGGCAATGCAATGGGAGGAAAGGCATTGGAGAAGGTGGGGAAAGGGTTTCGGGAGGTAGGCTGAGTGCTGAGGTGAGTTGAAGGGAGCTCTGGAAACCATAAGTGGGTGAGGAGATTTCCAGCAGGCTGGGGAGATGGAAGGGGTAAAGATTTGGTGGTGGGAGTGGGGAAGGTGAGTCTGCAGTAGTGAAGAGGTTTCAGAGGCTTCTGAAGGAAGGGAGTGAGGGAAGGGCTCTGAGCTAGCCCCGGAAGCAGACTATGCTGCTGTTGTCTGTTCTGCCAGGGAACAGGCTTGGTGTCAGTGGCCGATTCCTGAGCAGCAGAGTTTCAGGCATGGTAAGAAGCCTCTGCAGGCCCGCAGCCAAATTCCCCAGACTTTCTATTCATCACACTCACTGAGAGGTCCTAGGATGATGGGGTGGAGAAAGGACTGGGACCTAGCTGGGGTCGAAACCCTCTTCGTAAATGCTGTAAACTTGACACTAATGGTCTCCCTTGGCATCCCACCCTCCCAGACTTGGGGAGAAACTTGGGGCTGGAAAATCTTCACAATGAAGCCCTCTTGCCCACTGACATACTCAGGATTCAAGAGATACATCTAGTGTGGTCCTGGGCTTCCCACCAAAGGGAGATCTGGGGCAGAGGGAGGCATTCCTGATTTGCCTGCTTTTGTTTCAGAATCCCTCCTCAGTGGTCCACCATGTCAGTGACTCTGGACTGGCTGCTGAATTGCCTTTGGATGTACCACACGTTAGACTTGACTCACCACCTTCATTTGACAATACTACCTACACCAGCCTACCTCTTGATCCCCCATCAGGAAAACCATCACTCCCAGCTCCATCCTCATTGCCCCCTCTACCTCCTAAGGTCCTGGTCTGCTCCAAGCCTGTGACATATGCCACAGTCATCTTCCCGGGAGGGAACAAGGGTGGAGGGGCCTCTTGTGGGCCAGCCCAGAATCCACCTAACAATCAGACTCCATCCAGCTAAACTCATCACACTGTAAACTCATGAGGACCATCCCTAGGGGTTCTATGCATCCATCCAGCCAGCTCATGCCCTAGGATCCTTAGGATATCTGAGCAACCAGGGACTTTAAGATCTAATCCAATGTCCTAACTTTACTGTCAGGGAAAGTGATGCTCAGATATGACTGAGATGTCTTGGGGAAGACCTCCCTGTACCCCACTCCCCCACTGGTTCTTCTGCCATTACACACTGGGCTAAATAAATCCTAATAATGATGTGCAAACTCTTAATGGCTGAATGGGAAAGGAAACTGCCCAAGTTTGACTAATTGCTTGGCCTGTGAACGGAAAAGACTCTGGTCTGAATTTTGTGCTGTATGATCTCCTGTCTCTCGTCAGTGGGGAAATGGTTTCCTTCCCTGGTCAGAACACTACAATGCAGTTTGATTCAAGGGATGCTGAAAAGTCTTCCTCAAAAGTATTTTTTGCTTCTCTCATGATGCCTCCAAGTACAGATTCATTTGCGTGAGTCAAGGAAGTTCTTCTCCTTTCTGCTCTGCACCTTGTGAATATGTGACATGATGCGACACCATATGATGGGGTGGGGGTGGTGATAGGTTAATGATAGTTAAAAGAGACCCAGGACAAATGGTGTATGAGAAATGGGACTGAAAGGAAACAGGAGCAAGGACAGAAATGGAAATAGACACCAAGTCTGTTCCTTGGCAGGACACAGGATTTTCAAGCACTAGAAGACCTTTACAGACATCAGTCTTACCAGAGCTGGCTGTCTCTTAACTAGGTGGTCATCTAGTAACACTGTTTCCCTTGGTCTAAACTCTGGAGCCTGGGAAGGGCCCCATGGAGAAATGAACTGAGGGGAGGGAAAAGGGAATGGTAAAGGAATGGCCATGGTCAAGTGTGAATGAAAGCTAGTTCAGGCTAGGGGTGAAAGAGCCTTTAAGGACTTGCCAGAATTTCTTCTGAAACTGTTCAATTTGAAAATATAGTCATCCCTCCATATCCATGGGTTCTGTATCCACAGATTTAAGTGTGGATCAAAAATACTGAAAAAAAATATTAGATATTTCTTTAAATATTAGAAAAAAATGGTTATGTCTGTACTTAACATGTACAGACTTTTTCCTTGTCATTATTCCCTATACAATACAGTATAACAACTATTTACATAATATTTATATTGTATTAGGTATTTTAAGTAATCTAGAGATGATTTAAAGTATATGAGGAGATGTGTGGTTATATGCAAATGCTACACCATTTTATATAAGGGACTTGAGCATCCACGGATTTTGGTATCTACAGGGGTCCTAGAACTAATCCCCCCCAGATACTGAGGGGTGTATGTATTTGCCCATATTGGGATGAAATGCTCAGTAACCCAGTCTTGTTACAATCACAAATAGCTAGGCATAAAGAGGTTTTTGCCATCTGGAGGGGCCCTAAGCTTGGCCTAAGCACCTCAGGAAGAAGGACAAGTGGTGTGCCCTGGGCTCCAATTTGCCCACCAATCAACTAATGACTAGGGACTGCCTGCTGGGGAGTGGACAGGTGGCAGAAAAAAGGGCAGAATAAAGACTAAAAAGAACCCTCTGGAAAAACTCACCATGGTCTGAATATATTTAGAACTTTTTAGAACATGTCAGAAGTAAAAAGTGTATTTTTACTTTTGAGTATAAAGGAAAATACTAAGAAAAATAACAATCAATTGAGTGGTAAGGAAGAGGAAATATAAAAATTCCATCATTGATCATGATAGGAAGTCTATGAATACCAACCAAAGTCATAGTTATAAAAGTAACTTCTAAGATGAAAATACTGCCATGCTAAATTTTATAAGAAACACACATGCAATATAAAGCAAAGTAAATGCAGGCAACATGGTGAGATGACCTCCTCATATCAGAACCTTTGGAATTCAGTTAAAGAAGTACTCAGAGGAAAATTCACACTCTTAACAATTAAGCATCTTACTCAAAAAGTTAATTTTATCTTATTTATTTATTTATTTATTTATTTATTTATTTTTGACACGGAGTCTTGCTCTGTTGCCCAGGCTGGAGTGCAGTGGCCGGATCTCAGCTCACTGCAAGCTCCACCTCCCGGGTTCACGCCATTCTCCTGCCTCAGCCTCCCGAGTAGCTGGGACTACAGGCGCCCACCACCTCGCCTGGCTCATTTTTTGTATATTTTTAGTAGAGACGGGGCTTCACCGTGTTAGCCAGGATGGTCTCGATCTCCTGACCTCGTGATCCGCCCATTTCGGCCGCCCAAAGTGCTGGGATTACAGGCTTAGGCCACCGAAGTTAATTTTAAAAGAGAAAAATGATATAACTAATACATAAAAGAACAGATTCTTTAAAATAAAATGAAAGAGACACTGTTAGGCAACTTAAGACTGAAATAAAAAATGACAAAGGAGAAATAACACAAAGACAATGAAAAATATAATGAGAGTATTTTGTGTCGAAGCTGGGAGTATTGATGGAATGGGAATGATGACAAAGGGACCTGAAATAACTTTTTTGGTTGAAATGTTCTCTATCATGATTGTGCTAGTGATTACATAGGTATATATATTTGTCAAAAACCTATCGCTAAAATGGGTACATTTTCCTAAATGTAAATACTATTTTGATAAAATTGGCCTAAAAAATAGTTGAAAGACTGTTGAGGAATAGTTAAAATAATTTTAGAGAGAAAAGAGCCCTTTCAAGAATGAACCAAACTCAGAAGCCATAAAAGAACTCATACATTAAAACTGATACATGCCAGAGTAAGAACCTGTGAAAACTCTCTCCTCCAAAAAGCAACAAGAAGGCCGGGCGTGGTGGCTCATGCCTGTAATCCCAGCACTTTGGGAGGCTGGGACAGGTGGGTCACCTGAGGTCAGGAGCTTGAGACCAGCCTGGCCAATATGGTGAAACCCCATCTCTACTAAAAATACAAAGATTTGCCGGGTGTGGTGATACATTCCTGTAATTCCAGCTATTCAGGAGGCTGAGGCAGGAAAATTGCATGAACCTGGGCAGTGGAGGTTGCAGTGAGCTGAGATTGTGCCATTGCACTCCAGCCTGGGTGACAGAGCAAGACTCTGTCAAAAAAAAAACAAAAAAACAAAACAACAACAACAAAAAAAAAAACAGCAACAAGAAACAAGAAAACTGGCAAATATATTCAGAATCAACTTTTTCAGAACTCTGGAAATTAACCAAAGACTTGCATCAATAGAGGGAATGTTTACTTAGGAAAAATGTCTTTCTCCCTATCTATTTGATTTAAAAGAGAACTTCATAGATTAACAATTATAAAGCTAAAGTTAAAATTATCTATTTAACACAACATTTAACACAACAGAAGGCAGTTGATGAAGAGAGGCAAAAAGACATAAGACAAATAGAAAACAAATAAAATGGCAGGCATAAATCTAACTTTATAGTAATTACATTAAATGTAAATGGATTAAACATTCTAAAAGGCAGAAATTGGCAGAATGCATTAAAAATACATGATCCGGCCGGGCGCAGTGGCTCACGCCTGTAATCCCAGCACTTTGGGAGGCCGAGGCGGGCGGCTCACAAGGTCAGGAGATTGAGACCACGGTGAAACCCCGTCTCTACTAAAAATACAAAAAATTAGCCCGGCGCGGTTGTGGGCACCTGTAGTCCCAGCTACTCGGGAGGCTGAGGCAGGAGAATGGCGTGAACCCGGGAGGCGGAGCTTGCAGTGAGCCGAGATCTCGCCACTGCACTCCAGCCTGGGCGACAGAGCGAGACTCCGTCTCAAAAAAAAAAAAAAAAAAAATACATGATCCAACTACATGCTGCCTATAGGAGAAAAACTTTAGATTAAAAAACACAAGCTGGTTGAAAGTGAAAGAATGTAAAAACATATACCATGAAAACTAGCTAAAGAGAGCTGGAATGACTATACAAATATCAGGCAAAATATAGAGTTAAGACTTAAAATTGTTACTAGAGATAAAAAGGACATCATAATGACAAGAAGGTCAATCCATCAAGAAGATACTACAATTATAAATATATATGCACCTAACTATAGGGTTTCAAAAAATGTGAGGCAAAAAACTGACAATTAAAGGAAGAAATAGAAAAGTAAAGAGTAATAGTTGGAGACTTCAATATCTCACTTTAAAAAATGGATAGAACAAGTAGACAGAAAATCAGCAAGGAAACAGTAGACATGAACAACTCTATAAATCAACTAGACCTAACAGACAGTTATAAAACACTCTACCCAACAGCAGTAGAATACATATTCCTCTCAAGTGTACACGCAGCATTCTCTAGGATACACTATATATTAGACCATAAACAAGTATCCATAAATTTAAAAGGACTGAAATTAGACAAAGTATGTTCTCTTACCATAATGGAAAAAAATTAGAAATTAGTAACAGAGGTAAATTTTGGAAATGCATAAATACGTAGAAATTAAACAACATACTTCTAAATGACAGCTGTGTTAAAGAAGAAATCACAAGGGAAATTAGAAACACTTTGAGATAAAAATATAAACACAATATACCAAAACTTATGGGATGTAGCAAAATCAGTGCTTAGAATGAAACTTATAGCTTTAATCACCTACATTAAAGAAGAAGATCTCAAAACAGCAACCTAATCTTTTACTTGAAGCAACTAGACTGAAGAGTAAGCTAAAATCAAAGCAAGCAGAAGGAAGAAAATAATAAAAATTAGAACAGAAATGAATGAAATGAAATAGAGAGCAGAAAAATAATAGAGAAAAATCAACACCACCAAGAGTTGGTTCTTTGAAAAGATCAACAAAATTGATAAACCTTTTTAAGCTACACTAGCCAAGAAAAAAAAAAAAAGACTCAAATCACTAAAATACAGAATGAAATTGGAGGGACAACTACTGGCATTAAGATATGAAAAAGGATTATAAAGGAATACTATGAGCAATTGTATATCAACAAGTTAAGATAACCTAGGTGAAATGAACAAATTCCTAGGAAGACACAAATTACTGAAACTGACTCAAGAAGAAATAAAAAATTGAATAGATCTATAACAAGTAAAGAGGTTAAATTAGTTAAAAAAAAAAAAAAAAAAAAAAAACTCACAACGAGAAGCCCAGGCCCAGATGGCTTCACTGGTGAATGCTACTAAATATTTAAAGAATTTAAAAACCTACCCTTTACAAATTATTCTAAAAAATAAATGAGAAGGGAATTCTTCCTAACTCATTCTATGAGGCCAGTATTACCTTAATCCAAAAAACAGACAAAGAAATCACAAGAAAAAACAAAAACACTACAGACCAACATCCTTTATCAATGGAGATGTAAAAATCTTCAACAAAATACTAGCAAATAGAATATAGTAACAGATAAAAAGCATTATACACCATGACAAAGTGGGATTTATCCCAGGAATGCAAAGATGATTTCACATATAAAAATCAGTCAATGTGATATTATACCATATCAATAGAACAAAGGACAAAAACCACATGGTCACCTCAACAGATGCCAAAAAAACATTTGACAAAATCTGACACCATATCATGTCAAAAATACTCAACAAATAGGAATAGAAGGGAATTTCCTCAAGATGATAAAGGCCATCTATCAAAAGCATACAGCACACTTAAAGGTGAAAGACTGAAATCTTTCCCCCAAGATTGGGAACAAGACAGGAATATTCACTCTTTGCCACGTTTATTCAACATTGTACTAAAGGTTCTAAGAAAGAGAAATTAGAAAGGAAAAAGAAATAAAAGGATTCCAGACTAGAAAGAAAGAAAAGCATCTATTTTTAAATGACATGATCTTGCATATGTAAAATCCTAAGGAATCTAAAAAAAAAATTTAGAGCTAGTAAGTTCAGCAAAGTTCCAGGATGCAAAATCAATACACATTATCTAACTTGTCTGAGAAAAAAAGAAAACTATATATATACAAAAATCAGTTGTATTTCTATATATACTTGCAATGAACAATTCAAACATGAAATTTAGAAAACAATTCCATTTATAATAGTATCAAGAAGAATATGATATTTAGGCATAAATGTAACAAAAGAAGTCTAACATTTATACATTAAAATGACAAAATATTATTGAAATAAATTAAAGAAGACCTAAATATATGGAAAAGATATCCCAGTTTCATGGATCAGAGGACTTAGTATTGTTAAGATGGCAATTCTTCCCAAATTAATTATAGATTTGATGCAATCCCTATCAAAATTACAGTTGTCCTTTTGGCAGAAATCGATAAGCCAATCCTAAAATTCACATGTAAACACAAAGGACCCAGAATAGCCAAAACAATTTTGCAGAAGAAGAGTACAGTTGAAGGATTCACACTTCCTGATTGTAAAACTTACTATAAAGCTACAATAATCAAGACTGTATGGTACTAGCATAAGGATAGACATATAGACCAACAGAATAAATGGAGAGGCCAGAAATAAACCCATTCACTTAAGATCAACTGATTTTCAACAAGGGCGTCAAGACAATTAAATAAGTGAAAGAATATTTTGTTTAAAAACAAATGGTGCTAGGACAACTGGATAGCCACATGCAAAAGCATGATTTTGTAACATGACCTCACATGATATACAAAAAGTATCTCAAAATAAATTGAAGACCTACATGTAAAAGCCAAAATAAAAAGTCGATTTTTCTCTCCTGGAAGAAAACATGAGTAAATCTTTGTGACCTCAGATTAGTTGATAGTTTCTTAGATATGACACTTAAAGCACAAAGATCCAAACTAAAAAATAGATACATTGACTTCATCAAAATTAAAAACTTACATTTTGCAAAATGATTTCGTCATGAAAGTGGAAAGACAACTTACAGAATTGGAGAAAATATTTGCAAGTCAAACCTAATAAGGGTCCAGTATGCAGAATATATTTTTAAAACTTGTAATATGCAGCAATAAAAGGCAAAAACTCGAATTAAAAAATGGGCATATAATTTGAATAGACATTCTCCAAGAAGATATACTAGTGTCCAGTAAGCTCATGAAAAGATGCTCAACATCATTAGTTACTAAGGAAATATAAATCAACATCATAAGATACCACTTCATACCCACTAGGATAGCTATAATAAAAAAGACAAACAAAAGCAAGTGTTGGCTAGGCTATGGAAATTGCTGGTGAAAATGTAAAATGGTACAGAGGCTTTGGAGAACAGTTTGACAGTTCCTCAAAAAGTTAAACACAGAATTTCTGTATGACCTGGAAATTCCTGGAAATGCCAAGATAGGTATATACTCAAGAGAATTGAAAGCCTATGTTCACACGAAAACTTGTACATGAATGTTTACCATAGCATTATTTATAACAATAGTTAAAAACTGGAAACAACCTAAGTGTCCACCAAATGATGAACAGATAAATAAAATGTGGCATCATGTGCCACAATGTGGTACAATGGAATGTTACCTGGCCATAAAGAGTAACCCTACACCATAAATAAACCATGAAAACATTATGCTAACTGAAAGAAAAAGCCATGTATAATAATTCCATTTATATGAAATGTCCAGAATAGGCCAATCTTTAAAGACAGAAAATATATTAGTGGTTACAAAGATTGGGGAAAGAGGAAATGGGGAGTGACTCCTAATGGGACCAGAGTTCCTTTCTGGGGTGATAAAAATGTTCTGGAATTAAGATAGTGGTGATGATTGTACAGTCTTACAAATATACTATAAAGCACCGAACTGTATACCTTAAAAGGGTGAATTTTTTCTCAATAAAAAAAGTGCCAAAAGGGAATGCCAAAAAAAAAAAAAAAAAAAAAAAGGATGAAGTACTGCAGGCTGTTATTACCTATCACCACCATTTGTGGGAAAGAAGGTTGCAGTAACTATATACTATTGCTTACATGTGCATAGAATAATTTTGCTAGGGTACACAAGGAAGTGGTAACACTGATTATCTCTGGGGAGGGCAACTGGTGTCTGGAAGACATAGATGGGAAAGAGTTTTTCACTGTTATACACTTGTTTCTTTTGAATTTTCTACCACATAAATGTAACATCTACTTTTAAATATAAAAGCTGAACCAATAATAATAGCTACCAGTCACTGAGTGCTTACTATATGCCAGGTGCTTTATAATCATTTAATCTTCACATTGACAGTCTTTTGTCCTATTTTTAGGACAAGAGGATATTTTATCTCCATCTACAGAAAAGGAAACTGAGGCATATAGAAGGATAAATTATATGCCCAAATGAATGCAGCTAATAAGCAGCAGAGTTAGAATTTCAACCGAGCCTATCTGGTTCCAGAGTCCTCGTCTGGATTGCTACTCTATATTACCTCCCAGAAATTTAAAGGAATGAGGGAGGAGGACAGAAAGTGGGTGAAAAGAAGAAAGGAAGGAGTAAGATGGGAGGAATGCAAGGGGGAAGATGAAGGGAATAGAGGGACAGGAAAAAGAAAGGTAGCAAGAGGGAGAAAAGTGGAAGGAGGAAATGTATAGATTAGATTGCATGATTTAAAGGGTAAGTGCAGGCCTCCCTTTCATAAACGTCTCCCTTCCTGTCCTTAAAGTTCTGATCTTGGCCATTTGAAGAGAATAGTAAAGACTGGGTACAGGAAAGCCTAGTTCCCATGAAAGCCTGCATAGCCTAGCATAATCTCTGGAATCAAATCTGAGTTAGAAGCTCAGCTCTATCATTTTGTGGCTATGTTTGTTGGGGTAAACTCTTTCTAGGCTTCCATTTCTTCATCTGTAATATGGGATAATAATAGTACTTGACTCACAGAATTGATATAGGATTTAAACAATGTATTTCAAGCACAAGTAAGTAAATAACAAATTGCAGCTATCATAACATTAGCAAATTCACTCTATGGACACTAGATGATTGAGTTACAAAGTGTAAGAAATCAATGGGAAGATCATACTCAGTGGAAGAAACACCATCAAATAGATAAAGGCCAAAGATGGCAACTCCAAAGAGAAGAAAAAGGGAGAAAGCTAAAGTTACACATACTTTTGGCAACTTCGCAGTTTTACCTGGGAATGGCCAAATCACACAGCACAAAGGAGAAATGGATTCCCACAACCCTTTGTACCTCTCAAAAGACTCCTTGACTTCTTAGGAGCCCATCACCAAATCTGTGCCAAAAGAGGGCAACACGAAGGCACTCGCACTACCAGCCCTCCTTAAGTAATGGCAATTTCTTTATTAGGGTCATAGTTTTTCATCTGCTAATGGATCTCACCTTACAAAAGATGGAATCAGTTCATCTTAAAGCCTTCCAGGCCTCCTGTCTACTCCTGGTTTTAACTTCTGGTAGAGTTGTGCTAATGACTTTTAAGAGTTAAAAAAAATCTAAGCGGCACGTTTTAGAAAAAAATAGTCTTTTATTTTGATAAACATATAGATAGCAGTAACTATAAAGGCTAGTATACTTAATATGTACACTATATATTTAAAAGGAGAATCTGGGGCATTTCCTTGTGTTATATACAATAAGAGAATCATGGTCCCTTCAGCTTATTGTTCTTTTAACACATACATCTTGAGTTTCTTCTGCATCCTTGTTCTCCTTGACATCAGCCACTCTGTTAAATCCTGAAAGAAGGAACATAAAGAATGTGATAAATACAAAGAATGTCCTCAGCAATTACAAAGTTAATAGCGGCCCTGGGAAAGAAGGAGATTTGCAGGGCTCTGAGGAAAGGAACTATATTCTTTCCTCTCCTTTTCTTGCCTAATGTTATCATTCACCTTCACAGACATTGTGACTTCTAAGACCTTTTTCTCTCCTTAGTGACCATCCAGTTATTCCAAGGAAACAACCCAATTGCTTTGGCTAAAAGCAAGGAAGAACTTTCTATGCCTAAGGGTTACCAATACTGAAACAAAGAGCTGAGAGAAGCTGAAGAAATTGCTGTTTAACAATAGAAGGGATTCCTATCTGTCCAGGCAGGGCCTAGCATTAGGAAGAGGATTATACTTACCTCTGGAGCAAGGACTAACTCCTTACATCTGTGTGTCCCTTTTTACTTCAGAAGTGCAGCCTTTGACTGCTCATGAGTAAGAATCTGAGACTGTCTTTATGTCTCTCACACAAGGGTTCCAGGAAGAAATGCTTACTCTGTATTCCTAAATTTCTTTTCTAAGAGTTATTTTCCTGCAGAAATTCTCCTTTTATCCAAATCCTGGTCAAGCAAGTGTCAAAAGGTCTGATGCTGTTAGTCAGGGACATGAATTCTCTCTTTTCACATCTCATTACAGAGGCCTTAAGCTCAGATACCCACTGGTGATAGACAGGGCAGGTCACACATCGAGAGAAGAACTCCTTAAAGTACTGAAAGGAAAGGAAGGTCCATTAGCTGTGGGATTAGTGCATCATTCTCCTAACATGCCACTTCATCAGAACTTACAAAGGTCCTCATTCAGCATATTCACTCATGGCTGAGGGAACAGGGAGGAGTTACTGATGGCAAAATAGGCCTGGAAAACTGGTTTTGGGATACAGAGGAATTGCAATGTGTTTTAGACTCAGAAGGGCTGTAGGGAGATGTGTCAAATTACAGACTGAACCATAGAGTACAGGTCCACTGAGCAAGGCTAAATGTTAATATTTTAATGATACTGGGTAGTAGCTGGCAAAGGTGGAAAGAAACCCAGTCCAGAACTAGATACAATAATATCTGGCAGGATACATAAGGTAGGTGGAAACTTTCTAGGTGGAGAAACAAAGGATTCAAAGAGTAAAGGAAGATAGAACCAGTAAAAGGGAAAACACGGAAGAGATGCAGGTGGTAGAAAGAGCATCACAGGGTAGAACTAAGTGAATTAGGTGTTAGTTGAAGGACAGCTGAGAAACAGGTACCTCAAGGGTTTGGCTGCGAAGCTCTAGAGGAATATGCATGAAGATACCCTCTGGTATTTTCTGTAACATTAGCACATGGCACTCTAGGAATCGGACAAAGCCATGTGCACCAAATAGCGAAGCATTGGTTCTTTTCACCAACTGGCAAGCCTTGGAGAAATAGTGCTCAAACAGGCCCCACTGTGATTCCTGGGCAAACCTGGAGGAAAAGAGTAATAGCTCTCAGCAATATCTGCTGCTTACCAACCATGACTTTTGCTTAAAATCGTCACTTCTTTAAGGCTCTAAGACCTTCTGGACAGTCAGAATTGTGATGCTAGAAAGTGATCAAGGCTACTAACTCACATACAAGGAAACTTAAAAAGAGACCAATTATATTCAGCCTTGCTATGGGTTACTCTAGCAGTTAAGTGTAACCCTAATTGTAACCCTTGACCTACAGGCCAAAACCTGTTAAAGGACAAAAGCCCTTTTAATAAGATGGGAGGGTATGGGAGGTGAATGGTCTTTAAAAGTTGGTTAGAGATGTTCAACAGTCCTGTCAGGTGGGGAGAGACAGCTTAAATGACTTAAATGTCTATCCTTTTCCACAACCCTTGAGTAAGACATTACCACATGGCCAGGGAGGAGTGGACCCCCAGCATGACATTGCTCTGAGAGGTCAGAACACGGCTGTGCTCGTAGATTTGAACAAAACGCAGACACTCACTAAAGGGCCGAAACAGCAATCCTGTGGACAGAGAAGGTAACCACGCTAGTATATACTATCAGTGTAGGAACCAGGGTATAGAAGATATGTGATACGGGGAAGGAAACAAGACCCCAAAGGCAGACACCCCTGAATCACAACATGGTTCCCAGACTTTAAGGAGCCAGAGGTCAGGGGCAGAGGCCATGCCTGAGGGACAGGTTCATGACTGCCTGTATTCCAAACCTAGAGCCCCATCTGAGGTCTGAATCCCTCAGGAGTACAGCAGAGACCTGTGCAAGATTTACCTTTTCCGTAGAGCAGCAGATCTAAGCAAGCAGAGTAAAAGCAGGCCAGGCCAAGGACATCATAACCCTGAGAAATGAGCGCCCACTGACTCTCCAGTACATGGACACACAGGCCAAATCTGCCGAGAGACAGAGCCACTGGGACCAGCTAGGGAGTGAGGAGGATGGGTAGGAAAGGAAGGGGTCTTACACCTTCAAAGCAGCCTAACATCCTTTAGATCTCTTCATAGCTCTATTTATATAGAGAACATCTATGCCTGGGATCAGACCTATCTCTAGGCAAAGGAGGTGGGAGACTGCCTCTGAGGCAGTTTCCAGGGTCTTCAGCTGCTGCAATTCTCTATCTCCCTGCAGAGTTTTTTTTTTTTTTTTTTGAATAAAGTTTGTCCATGAGCCCCCAAGTGCTAAGGAATATATAGTAGCTCTGACTCTGCATTTCCACTCCTGATTCTTCCACACTTAAGATAATGTGGCTGGAGTGGCCAAGGGAAGGATATCCCGGGGTGTGGAAATGGAATAGCATCTCCCTCTCCACTCCAAACTTCTCTGGGAAAATATACACACCCCTCTTAGGAAACAAATACAAATGACAGAAAATGATCTTAATACTTCTTCTTCAGAAATGCAGATCTGAAGAGAACTGAGAGAACCAGATTCTCCAGAGCTGGTTTCTTGAGGTGTCTGCATATCTCACGAGCTTGAAAACCTGAGGAGGTTCAAGAGCACCGTGTGAGGTCCAGCTGTGAACATGTACTCTCTAAAAGCCCTAGACCCACCATCCCTAAGTCCCTTTACCCAGCTTGATGGAGAAGTCAAGATGGCCAAGGCAGAGCTTGGTGTAGGCCAGGGCCTGCATGAGCTGAGCTGTGGCCAACAATCCCTCCCTGGAGAACCAACATAAACTGCTTTTCTGAATGGCCATCTGCTCACAGTGCAGCCACTTGTCCTTGATGCCCATGCTCTGGGAGAACTGAGAGAGCTCCACATAGGTAGAGACAACCTGCAGGGAAACAAACACAGGGCAAAATATTCCCATTGTACATTCATGTAACATTTCCATTTTGTTCCTTTCCTATGTAAGAGCCTATTATGATGCCTTGCTGCTCACTCAGTCTAAACTCCTGGTATCCCACAACTTGCCTCCAACCCAGCTAGAAAAATATGCTCCTTCTCACCCCTACACTTCTAACTGGATCATTCTCACTGCCTGTTCTTTAAACAAACCACTTTCTCTACATGCTCCTGCTTTTCCTCTCCAATCCATGACTTTCCCTTTCAAAACACTGATTAAACTACCTCTTCTTTGTTTTCTAATTTAAGACCTCTGATATTTGCTCCATAGAGCTCTTCAAGGCTGCTGCCTAGATCTCTATGTAACTATGTGCACATCTGAAATAGTGTTCTATATAACTATGTGTGCACTTGAAATAGTGTTCTCTTCTTGGAACACTGTCTTCCCTAGCTTTCCAGCATGCCAGGCTCTGTTGGTTTTCCTCCTGTCTCCCTGGCAACTTATTCTCAGTTTCTTTTGCTGGTTTCTCCTCACCACTCTGACCTTTTAACACTGGAGCTGTTAACAAAGTCCCTGGAACTTTTCTATACTAATTCCCTTGGTGTTCTCACACAGTCCTGTGACTTTAAACAGTATTTGCACACTAATGGTTCCCATATGTCTATTTCCAGCTCAGACCTCTCCCATGAATCCCAGACTTGAATATTCACCTGGACTCATATTCACCAGACTTGTCTCCACCTCGATGTCTAATGGGCATCTCAAATAAAATATGTCTAAAGCCTAGCTCCCAAATCTTCCCCCAAATCTGTTCTTCCTGCAGACTTCCCTATCCCAATTAAGAGCATCTCTGTCCCTCTAGAAGTTCGGGTCACAACTTTTTGGATTATCCTTGACTCTTCTTTCCCTCACATCCCAGAACTGATCCATGAGTGAATCCTATTGCCTCTAAACCCCCAACCTTTTTTCCCCACAATAATCAAAGCCATCACCATCTCTTGCTTAGATTACTGCATTAGCTTCCTAACTGATCTCCCTGCTTCCTCCCTTGTCCCCTTCATGTTACTTTCAACACAGCAGACAGAATGATCTTATTAAAATATAAGTAGATACTGTCACCCCTCTTCTCAGAACCCATTAATGGCTTCCCATCTCTTTCAGAGTAAAAGCCAAAACTCCTACAGTGGCCTATCTAGGGTCTGTACCATTTGCCACCCCACCCCTTCCCGGTCCTTCTGACCTCATCTCTTGGTTCACCCTCCTCTTCCTCCCCTCCAGTCACACTGTCCTTCAAACACAGAGGATATGCCTTGAGCATTCACTGTGCCCTCTGCCTGGATACTCTACTCCCAGACAGTCTGACTTTCTCGCCTCTTTCAGATATTTACTCCAATGTCACCTGCTCAGCAAAGCTTTCTCTGACCACCTTGTTCAAAACTATACCCCACCCCTCACCTCACAGAACTCCATATCCCCTTGCCTCCACTTTATTTTGCTCCACTGCATTGATTATCACCTAACATACTGTATATTTTACTTATTATATTTCCCTGGAGTCAAGATCAGTGCCTGGCATATAATAGGTGTTCACCAAATGGTTCATTGTTGAATATGTGGATAAGACAGAGAGAAAGGTAAGACACTAAAATGAGGAAGACACATTTCCTTTTGTTTTTTTCCTAAATCAGCAGTTTTAAATCTTTTTTAGATCACAGGCTTCTTTGAGAATCTGATGAAAGCAATGACCCCTTTTCTTCCTCCTGCCAGCCCCCAAAGGTTCTTTTGAATATACACATAAAATTCTGCATTCAGTTCTGGGAGTTCACAGATAATCTCATACCTGGAAACCCATCTATAAACTGCAAACTGAGAAACTTCACTTGAACACATGATCAGCGTTGTCTGGGTTATTGGAGAACCATGCTAAACCAGGAACTTGGTTTCTGAGTGAGGTCCAAAGGTAAAGCAAGGACCTGCTTACCTGGGCTTCATTTGCAAACTCCTCGGCTGAATTCTTCTGCATAAGAGTAGCCAGGCAGGCAAACCTGTAGCTACTGGCTGTGGCCTCCAGGTTATAGAGCTGCCAGAGTAGGGACAGGCAATGCAACTGCTGCTGCAGAACTGCCAAATTCTTCTTACTGTTGCAAGGCACAGGGTGGTTAGCACACCCTTATTCTTTACTAATGCCCAAAGTTCCCTCCCTACAAGAGCTCCAAGTCTACTCATCATGGGGCCATCTACAGATGTCCAAATTCAGAAATAGTCCTTGGTTCCCACTACTCCTAACTGCATATGCCATTTTAATTAATCCCCCTTGATCAGGAAAAGTTCAGCGAGAGGTTTCAAAAAAAGATTCATTCTTTAAATCCCTATTTGCTACATGTAATTGGCTGGGGGAGTAAGGTGGAAGAGTTAGAACTGTATGTTATATACTTATTTGTTACATGCATATATATACATATATATATATGCTGACTGTTATATATCTTGTTATCTGCTTGTCTGTTAGATGCTTGAACATTATTTGATAGAAAAAGAGTAGTTTTAGGTCAAAAAGGCAAAGCTCAGGCTAGTTAACTACAGTCTTAGGAAGCCTTCTCACTTCTCACTAGGGTTGTTTGGAGGTTGGCTCAGGGTACAGGGATGCCAATACTTTTCCAGGAATGTCTGGAAAAGGACACCAAACCAGGTCCAAGGGAAATTCCTTTTCAGCAGCCGAAGGGCTTTCCTAGCCAATTTTTTGGCTAAAGTGATGTGTCCCATGTTGAAACAGACCTGGAGATGGGAAAACAAGAAGAATTAATGTAAATACAAGGTTTTGGATATAACACACTGGCTCTTTCATTTTGAGATGTGTAGTTGGGGTTACTGAGGTGCTAAGAGTGAGCTGAGCTAGAGCATAGCCTGGTTAGCAGTCACCCTAACAAGCACCAGTATGGCCATAAGTGAGTAAAGGGTTGAGAAAGTAGGATTATGGAGAAAGTATCCTCCTTTCTCATCTCCCACACATTTGTCAGTGGGCAGTAGAGGAAGGCTGTGATTTAAAATGTGATGCTGCTAGACTGAGAAGGGATCGTCATTTGAGTGGAGACTCAGATGCTCTCACATCACATAGAAAGCATCTATAATATCACCAAATCCTTTATCTCTCTTCCAAAATAGGTTGACTCACAGTAGATGTGGGGTGGGAGCTGGGGAACTACCTTGAAGTTATCCTATATCTTCACATTCTAAGGCTGAATCCCTCAAGAAAGTGATAAAGTCTATGTGATTCTAGAACAAAGAACAATCTTGGGAGGACTGTACAATAACTCTCACTTATAAAGGGAAAGAATAATTATTTAACTTTGCTCTGAAGACCTCTTGGTTGAAGCATAAATAATGCAACAATGTGACAACTCTAATACTCCCTTTGGCCTTCAAGACATTATGTACCTTAAGTTTACTATCCTAACCAAATTATCTTAAGGTTTACATTAAAATTAGTTTACATATACTCCAATGAGCAAATTAGTTTATATCTACTTCAATGAACATGAATGGATAATTCACAAAAAAACACAAATGACCAATAAACCTAGAAGAATGATGTACCTTATTAATTAAGAGAAACACATTAAAACAATATAACTTTGTCTAGGAATTAGCAAGGTTAGAAAAGACTGGTAGTATCTGATGTTAGTAAGGATATGAGGAAATGGGAAAAACTTGAGTTGATACAATATTTTTGTTTGGCAATTTGGTGATGTATTTATGAATTTTAAAATTGTGTCTTAGCATTGCCACCTTTGGAAATTTCTCTTACAAAAACACTCTCACAAGGAGAGAAAGAGATACTTAAGAAGAATATTCACTGTAGCAATGTTTATAATAATCCCCAAAATAGAGATAACCTAAATGCACCTGAAGAAGGGAAGAGCTAAGCTATGATCTAGCCAATGGAGTACTTGGCAGTTGTAACTATGTGGTGGATCGGTATGCACACCAATATGTAAATAGGTTCTGTCTGTACTATTAAGAATAAAAGCAAACTGCAGGAACAAGAAAATGTAGAATATGATCCTATTAAAAAATAATGGAAAACAATGATATGGCTGTGTGTGTACAGTTGGTGGAACATGCATACAATTATTAATTATGGTGGGGGGGTGTAGGATTAGTGGGAGCTCTTTCACTTTCTACCTATTATATATTTCTATATTTTAAATGTGAATAAGCCTTTTATCACATTATCACATTTATAATCATACACAAAAAACAATGAAGAGATTTTAAAAGAAATAATAGGGTAACCCTCAAGGAGAAATAGCCAGCACTTCAAGGTCACCCCTGTCCTCACCTCTGACAGAAGACGGCAGAAAGTAGCCTCCTCAAACTGACAGATCTTCACTTTGTGTTTTTTCAAAAATGAAAATGCTGAGGGTTGGCCCAGAAGACTGCTTGCCTTCCTTAAATAAAAGAAGGCCTCCAAACAGGGCAAGGGATAAAGAAACCAGATTAGGATTAGGATGATGCTGGTGTGATTAGGGCAAAGGCTGGAGTAAGGTTATGATGAGGGTCAAGATCAGAATTTGAAACAGATTTGGACTTCAAGCTAGAAACAGGAGCTGGACTGCTTGTGCAAGAGTCAGGGGCAGTGCCAGCACGGGTTGGTGCTATTCCACTACCATATTCCCACTTCATGTTTTTTCCTAAATCCTTTCTAGCTCTTCTGTCTCTCCTACTTTCTTCCACTTTTCACTCATGGTTATGATTGTAAGAGATCTCAATCAAATTCTCAAAGTAAAAGGCTCAGCTGAAGGGCAGATTGCAGAGCCTGCTCACCATATAATTGTCTGACAGGTCCAAGGAGGCAGCCGCAGCCTCCAGCAGGTAATAAAATGCACAGGTCGTTTCTCCAATGACCAAGCAATGCTGGGTGAGGGGTGAGAGCACTAACTTCAGGATATCCTTACAGTGACAAGGCTTTGTGGTCAACAGGTCTTTCTCAGGGCTGGTCTGAGCCAGCTTCCTCTTCACTTGATCTAGGAACTCTTCCTCTGTTCTTTGTGGAAAGAAAATGAAAAACTGAGAGTGGCCACCTTTATTGGGGCATTACCAGGTCTCAAAGTCACTTTTTCCAGGAAGCTTTCCTGTATCATTCATTAATTATTTGTCTATCCTTCTCCTCAATTACTCCATAAAATTTTAAAAGTCAGGGACCAGAGCTGTAACTGCAAAGCTCTATTAGGAATTTTTAAAAGCTGAAAGCCAATCTAAATAGCTCAATCTAAATGGGGAAATACCACACTTGAATAGTTAAACAACAATCTAAATGTTAAATAAAACATAAAAAGGATACAAAGCAATAATAATACATTTTTTCTGATAGCATATTTGAATTTTCTAATACCACATTTTAATATTATTTTATATATCATCATCTAATCCTACAACTCTCTCATTCAGGCAGGCAAAAATTACCTCTTTTAGGTCATTGAGGCTCAGAGAAATTACATATAGCTTCGTACTGAGAAGTAGAACCAAAACTAGAGCTTACCACTGACTTCTAATCTAGTGTACTTTTCACAGGCACGCTGAGCTCAAAAGTCAGATCTCTCTAAGCTATAATGATCTAAAAAAGTGGAGACTGAGGAGGGCCTTGAAGGATGGTCAACATACTGATAGGTGGAGAGATGTGGAGGTCACTCAGCATTTAACAAGGGAGAATTGTGTGAGCAAAGACACACAGGTTAGTGTGTCTTTTTGTTTGTTTGAAAACAGAAATTTTTTTTTGATTTTTTTTTGAAATTTTTATTTCAAAACAGTTTTTTGTTTGAAAACAGTAAGAAATCAAGTTAGGTAAGTGGGATGGGAAACTGTATATAGAGTGGCTGGTGCACTCCAGGTAGGGACATTGAAACTGAAAAGCATTAGAGATCCAGGAGGTACATGGTTAGGAAATGTATGTTCATTTTAATATCATCTGGGCTAAAATAATTAAGAAGACAAATCTATAGCTGGAAATAAAAATGCTACATATAAAATGCACTTAAAAGCTATTAAAAGGCTGGGTGTGGTGGTTCACGCCTGTAATCCCAGCACTTTGGGAGGCTGAAGCTGTTGGATCACCTGAGGTCAGGAGTTCAAGATCAGCCTGGCCAACATGGCGAAACGCCGTGTCTACTAAAAATACAAAAATTAGCCAGGCGTGGTGGCATGCACCTGTAACTCCAGCTACTTGGGAGGCTGAGGCAAGAGAATCGCTTGAACCTGGGAGGCAGAGGTTGCAGTGAGCCGAGATGGTGCCACTGCACTCCAGCCTGGGCGACAGAGACTCCATCTCAAAAAAAAAAAAAAAAGGAAAGAAAAAAGTGTTTTTAAAAAGTTTTTCTCAACCAGGCGTGGTGGATCATGCCCGTAATCCCAGCACTTTGGGAGGCTGAGGCGGGCAGATCATGAGGTCAGAAGATCGAGAGCATCCTGGCTAACATGGAGAAACCCCATCTCTACTAAAAATACAAAAATTACTAGGGTGTGGTGGCACACGCCTATAGTCTCAGCTACTCGGGAGGCTGAGGCAGGAATCACTTTGACCTGGGAGGCAGAGGTTGCAGTGAGCCAAGATCACGCCGTTGCATTCTAGCCTAGGTAACAGAGTGAGACTCTGTCTCAAAAAAAAAACAAAAAACAAAAAACAAAAACAAAAGAAAAAGAAAAAAATAATAATTTCCCTATAGAGAATCAAAAATTGCCTTTCCAAATATTCTCTGTTAACCTTAATACTGGGCTTAGTACAAGAGTCACCACTCCTCAACTGCAAGTGACGTAAGTGGCTTAGTTTAATGGTCATCTTTCCGTCACTTTTGGTCCCTCCATGTTCACCCTCAGCATTTCTGTCTACCTGCAGCATTCACTTGAGAAGGCCTCCTGAGTTCTGGATGGTTTCATCTGGAATGGAAAACTATCTGTAGGGAGAAAAAAAATATGATTAATTCTCCATGTTTGGATGAACTGAGGACATTTTCAATTCTTGACTACCTTTCTTCTGCAGTTTACAACACAAAATTAGGATGGTAGTTTGTAAATTCCTTCACAACTACTTGTGATCAAATAGTAACTCTCATCATTACCAAACCTTCAAACTAGTTCTGATTTTGAAGGAGGCACTCAGTATTTTCAAGATGAAGGAAAAATAGAGAATGTGTCCATCCTGGTTTGCTGGCTATTTCTAGTAGTGGAAATCCCTGAATACATATGGATCAGGGTCATGACCAGATCAGAGTGAACTGTAAAGGCTAAAACCAAGTGAAGAAAATTGTGATAGTATAAGATACCACAGTTCCCTAGTCAGTGACCAAGAGAGCTTTCCAGCTTTATGTAGCAGGCTTTAAATAGCCTTTATCCTACAGATTTGATTCTTCTTCTGAAGCTGCCTTCTAACAGATAACAGCAAATATTAGGAATGATGTTGAGATGTTACCCATTGCAACTCACAGCATGGATGGTGGGACTGATAAGGAGTCTAAGAGGACTGTTTTAGGGAGAACTTGGGTTAAGTAAAGGACTGGCTTGCTGATGATAATGTTAAATCACAGCTAAGATAACTGAGGATATTGGCAGCTCTACTGCAGTACACAACTCCAAGAGGCACCCTCATATCATAGCCTCTGTAATAGTCCCCTCTGGAGTCAGGCAATGCCAGGTCTGCAATGGCAATGCACAAAGGCCTCGGGTCTGGGAAGCCTCCTCAGGGTTCTGCTGGGCTGAGAAGGTCTTGAGCCTTTTTCCTATGGATGGACCAGGCTGTCTAATCCAAAGCAAAAAAAAAAAAAAAAAAAAAAAAAACTGACCTTTTTATTTATTTATTTATTTATTTTTTGAGACAGAGTCTTGCTCTGTTGCCCAGGCTGGAGTGCAGTGGCTGGATCTCAGCTCACTGCAAACTCTGCCTCCCAGGTCCACGTCATTCTCCTGCCTCAGCCTCCTGAGTAGCTGGAACTATAGGTGCCCGCCACCAGGCCTGGCTACTTTTTTGTATTTTTAGTAGAGACAGGATTTCACTGTGTTAGCCAGGATGGTCTCGATCTCCTGACCTTGTGATCTGCCACCTTGGCCTCCCAAAGTGCTGGGATTACAGGTGTGAGCCAACAGGCCGGGCCAAAACTGACCTCTTAAAAGCAAAAAAGTCACACAGGAAATATGAACAATAGCACAGTTTCTTCACAATACCAGACTTTGGAAAGCACAACAGGTACAAATGCACATAGAGCTCATCAACCAATGACTAATTGCTCCAAGTCATTGGTCCACCTTCACAGTCATGATGTTATACCTAGAAGAATTGTATCATACACCAAATCCCTCATTTTAGCCTTTTGCCGACAACTATCTACCATTTTCCACATACCATCACCCCAGCCCCAATACCAAACCAACTCCCTTTTATCAAAGTAGGGAAAGAGGATTTGGTTGGGTCTTGATAGCTATCTTCAAGTATGGAAGAGGGTATAACTATGAAAAATGGATGAAGCTACAAGGAGGCAGCTTACATCCTGATGAAATAAGAAACTTTCTGACAGCTGGAGACGATGAGTTGTTCTGTAAGGTAAGCTAACTGAAAAGGCTAAACAAAGAGCAATGACCTCATATGTTTAACAGGCTATGGTGAGTATCTATTAACCAATAAAACCTTCTTCAGGTAGCTAACTCCTACTTATCCCTCAAGACGCAATTCTGACATTATCTACTTCAAAGGAGAATCTTCACTGACATATTTCCCCAGCTGAGTTAATGGCCCCGTCTCATTTTCATTGCTTTTACCATGCCATACTAGAATTCTCTATCTATATGTGTGTAGTAACCCCCAAAACAGATAGCTTCAGAAGTGCAAAGAGCAAGGCTTATTCACACCATATTCCTTGGTATAGAATCTGACACACATAAGGACTCATTATGTGTGTACTGAGCTGAAAAATAATAGTAATAATCAAAACAATAGCTAAAGGGTATTGAGCAATCACCATATGTCTGGCACTGTTCAGAGCACACTACATATTTTAACTAATTTAATCCCCACAATGTCCCAGTAAAGTTGATATTATTATTAATTAATTAATTTATTTATTTTGAGACAGAGTCTTACTCTGTTGCCCAGGCTGGAGTGCAGTGGCATAATCTCGGCTCACTGCAACCTCTGGCTCCCGGGTTCAAGTGATTCTCCTGCCTCAGCCCCGCGAGTATCTGGGATTAGAGGTGCCCACCACCATACCTGGCTAATTTTTGTATTTGTAGTAGAGAGGGGGTTTCACCATGTTGGCCAGGCTGGTCTTGATCTCCTGACCTCAAGTGATCCGCCCGCTTCAGCCTCTCAAAATGCTGGGATTACAGGTGTAAGCCACCGCACCCGGCCCATGAAGTTGGTATTGTTACTGTCCCCAATTGATTGAGGTTAAGTAACTTGCCCAAGATTGCCAATCAGAACAAATATGATCTCTAAGGTAGTCTTTAACTCTGAGATTACATTTTTTAAAATCTCTAGTACTTAAAGAATAAATAAGTGGTTCTTTCTACCTACTTTTCTCCTTTAATCTGATTTCAACTTTTTGATGAAGAATTCCAAGTACATGAATACCCATATATCCTCTTTCTGTCTCCTGGGTTTACCTTGGGGAGAAGGCAGCTGCAATTTTTCTGTGATCACTTGTGTTAGCACTGAGCCAGTATCTCTGTAAGGACAGAATCGAGAGGTCCCCTTGGAATTCTTAGTAGAACAAACTGCAAAACGGTGAAAGGGGACAAAGTCTCCTCCATGGCAGCTCCCACAGCGGCAGGCCAAAACTTGGAGAAAGCAGGCACATTCGAGGTGTAAAGCTATCTGTTGTTCCTTGGGCCAGAGCTCCCAAGCAGCTGCCCGTAGTAGAGGCACTCCAAATTCCAACACCTCAGTTTGAGGTAGGGATAATTCTTCTTTTAGCCTGAGAAGAGAGGCTGAACCACCATCTGAAATTTAGGAAAATCTAAGTGAGATTTTCCCTTATAATCCTTTGTGCTTCAATATGGCAAACTCTCAAGCACATGGCTGCTAGTGTGTAAGAAAATTCTATTTACAACCCTAGGCTAATATTACTGCCTCCTTTGTATAAAAAATTTTGTGCCATTCTGAGAGTGATACTGACCATATCTTGTATAAAGTACAACAGAGAAGAAATGATCAGTGGTACAAAAAAATCCTGTACTTCTATACCACTGATTTCTTGTTTCTCCTAAATTGAGATTTTACTTCAAATTATTATAAATGTCAAATCATAGGAAATGCTCTGTTCAAATATAGGGCCCAAACATATTTCAAAGTCAAAGGGAAAGTATTTGTGAATTATATGTGCTTTGGGTAGTCCATGTTACAATCTTATTCTTTCATATGGAGAATTTGAGATTGCAAACTATTTATATCTTGCTTTGTTCATGTCTGTTTCAATTCCACATGTGTTTGTCTTCCTTGTGAGTTTCTAAAATTGGGGATGGTTTATTCTTTTATCTCATTCTTTGTACCTAGAAGCCAATAAAAGATTATGTCAATATTTTCTGAACCAAAAATCAAAACACAAATACTAACACCTGGGTTAAAAAGGAGCTAGAATTCCTGAAATGAAGACAAGTCTGAAAAATACAGGATATTTTTTCACTACATCCATGTCTCCTTCATGGTTTAAATGATAATTTTCTTTCTGTTTCTTAGCCATAGGCTTTGAGAGAGAGACCCTCAAACTGGGTGTGGTGGTATGCACCCATTGAGCTCAGGAGTTACAGCCTGGGCAACATAACAAAACTCCATCTTTAAACAAACGAATGAGAGAACCCCTTGATATATGATATTGATGGTCTTTCTGAACACAGATACCCCCACAGGGACTCTTTGTTCAGACCTGAGTAAAAGGGAACAGCCCTTTCTTACCTAACTTTGTTTTCTTCTCTTTGGTTTCATCAATTATGTCGATAGAGGAAGGCACTAATATGGGTTCAGCAGGAAGCTCTTGGCTCTTGTCGGGCCAGCAGAGCACATGTATATCCACAAGAGCTCTCAACACCTGAAGTAGCTTATTTTTATCCCAGCCAGGCAGGAGGTGCTGCAGCAAATCTATATGGAAGGAGTGCCCAATGATTGCAGCACACTTGACCAGCAACTGTTCCTCTGGGCTCAGTTGATCCAGTTGGCTTACTGCTATTTCTGCCAAAATCAATCAGTCAATCAGTCAAGCAGCAGTGAACAAGATTTCTACAAATCTAGAATATATCATGTTGAAAGTCTGTACAGTTTTTTTAAAAACAAAGATGTGCTTTTCATCTACCCATGTCTACTGCCCCCACCTCAATCCTCCCTACTCTACTTAGCCAAACTTCTTTGCTTATGCTAAGAATAACCTCTGCTTGGGAAATTGAATTTGGACTGGTAAAACTGAATGAACTGGTGGTAAGCCACAGATTTGGGCTTCCTTGGGTATAATCATTCTTGTAAAAGGTCATGCCTCTTGCAGAGCCTGAAAGCGATGCCTGTTTGGGCCATTATAAGAGATACGGCCTTTAGTGGGTCCATGAGGCCTCTAAGCACCCATGAGTCATAGTTTCATTCCCCACAGCTGAGCTATTACTTGAGGCTCCAGAGAATAGCCCCTGGAGTGCTATGTAAACTCCTGTGAAAACTCTCACTGAAGAAGAGTACCTGCTGCTGTCCTGTTAGCATCCTGTATTTCCTTCTGAGTAAGAAAAGCCATTGCTAAGCATGGTCTATCACAGCTGTATCAGTGTAAACTGTCTAGTTGAACCTGAAACCTCCAGAGTAAAGAGCTTATAATATAATAGCTAACACTCATGGAATATTTATTATGTGCCATAATTTATTTAATTTAATCCTCAACTAGCCCCATGAGGCAGGGACTATTATTGTCCTCATTTGACCGATGAGAAGTTGACTAACTTATTCAAAGTTCCATAGCCAGTAAGTGCAGGAGTCCATGGTGCCCAGGGTTTTCTGACTCTAGAGCCCTGGCCCTTAACTACCATGGTGTCCTGAACTGCTGTTTCATGTGTGTGTCTTATTTTCTCAACAAGACCACACTGTACTTGAAGGTATGCTTGTTCATCACAATATTCCTCAAGAGGGCTTAGTATTAGTACCTTGCCCACCAAACACTTGAATAAAATATTAAAATAAGAAAAATTCATTTCTAAGAAGAACATCCCCTCTCCAACTATGCCTACCCAATTCTGATAGCTTCGTTATTCTTTATGGCATCAGTCATTCTACTTTGCACTCTTCCTTTTTATTAAACTCTTGCTATGTGCATAACACTGTATCTTCACTAATACCATGGATTTTCTTAAATCTTAGCAACATCATCTCCTTTGCTTACTGTCTACTCTGGAACAAGAATATGCACAAAGGGAAACTCTGGACCTATTTTGTATTAAATAATTGGAAAACTTTTCTGGGTCATCAGTTAGCCCCAAAGAGAACAATAAGCTCATTTAAGTAAAACTTTACTCAAGTAGCCTTACAAGTCTTCAAAGAGCTCTTCAGGCAATGCCAGAACTTATTTCTAGAAGGTAGATTTCTTTTTTAGAAGAAATGAAGCCAGAATGATAATGAGAGACCTACACTCAACTACTCACCAAATTACTAATTGCAATGATATCTGTAATTGGTTTACTTGAGGTCTTCAAGGGACTTACCTTTCAGAAAGGGTGGGAGAAGTACTGTATCCAAGTTCACATCATCCTTGACTGTGCAGACATAAAGTTCCTGGCCTTCTTCAGAGTTGGCAGGAAACATACTATACATTATGGATTTCATGGCATTGGCTATAAAGAAAACAGGCTATGACTGAGGAAAGCACCATTCTCAGTGACTGCAGTTCCAAAGGCACAAAAATATAATAATTTAGTCAAAAAAAAAAATCTAAAGGATGAAGATGACTGGAGTGTACCATGGTTTAAAGTGTTTTACCCCACCTGTCTGCCTGTTCTCTAATTTTCTCTTATAAACTAACAACATTCTCTGTACCAATCAGTATCTTACAACTAATCACTATTCCTGTTCACCTTATAACAGCTCTTGCTTCTATTACATCACAGCTCTGGGATGCCTTTCTGCTTTTATACATACTTCTACCCTTTATTCCTCTCCTAATTTCCTCCCTTCTCCCATCCCCCATCCAAATCCTCAAGTCAGCCTTCTCATCAATAGTGTACAATTCTTTTTTCTGGACTTTCATGTTTATAAATCCTAATTTCCTAGTCCCACCTCTTGGGCTGCTTATAAAATGAACTATTGTAGATTGATTGGATTAAGTTATCCAAAGCAAGTCTTGAGTATTTTCACCCTAATTGTATAAGATTTGTACAGTGTGCTTATCTGGGAAGGCCTAGTGTGGCCCACAATGTTAGCAAGGAAAAGGTATGTACCTCGTAAAGGCCAAGTGATGTCATGCTGGAGAATGAACTTCAGCAGCTGGACCAGCGTAGAACTCTGGGAAGCTAAGCTTACCTGAGAGGGTTTCCCACTTGCTGTTTTCCTCTTCCTCCTTTTGTAGGTCATGAAAGAGCAACATGTCCTTAGAGAGAAGGTCCTGGCATAGGACCTCGCAATAAAGGGGATTTCCAAAGCACCTGTGAAGGTAGCTGCAGGGAGGTAAGTAAGGGATTGCACATTAGAGATGACCACTTTAGGGGAGCCAAACGTAACGGTACTTCACTCTGAGGAATCTTCTTTTGTTAAAGTCAGCTCTTCATGACGTACACTAACAGAGGGCGACAGAGGCACAGAAATAGAAAAAAGTAATTTCTGATTGGCCTTGAAATGCATTTCGGCAATAACTTTTCTTTCTCAACTATTTTTCTTTAATTGATGTTGAAAGGAACTAACATTCCCTTGCTAAAGGGTCCGGCAGAAAGGGGCCTTATCACATATAATTGACACATAAAGCAAGCCACCCAAGTCCTAATTATCTTGTGAAAACCTGGGTGGATAGCCCAGGGAGGCAGCCCCTTACTTGATTACAAGAAGACTGTCTCCCTTAAATCTAGTCTTGGGGCCTCATCATGGTTACTAATGCTATTCTCTCCCCCAACTCCAGTAAGACCTGTGCCTTCTCATTTATATTATGGCACTGGTTCCTCCCTTAATGAAGTGCTCAGTTAGTCCTAGCCACTCACATCTGCAGCTCTTGGGGGATGCTCACCACCCCTAGCTCCCAACATGCCATTCTCAACAGCGAGGTTGTTGCCAACTTCGTAATAGGCATAAGGATAGCTTGAGGGCTCTGCAGGAAATGCTGGGCCCAGCCACACAGGGTGAAGATAGGGGTCAACGTCATCACCATGATGATGGGCATACTGGAGAGCAATGTTTCCAAAAACTCCCAGGAAGCTGCATCCATATACTGGGCCTCATCAATGAGGAAAATCAGTGGTGTTTCCCTCGCTGCCTGGAAAGAACAGCAAAGAAACAATAACCTCTGATTAGAAATGAAGTCACCTGGTTTTCAAATCTACCATAAATTTCCCATCAATAATTTAAATAAAATGTTAACACAGGCTAGAGTTTTCGGAGTAAAATATATTCTAAATCCAGGTAATATTTTCCTTTATAAATATAAAATCTAGTTCCTAAAAAAAGTACTGGGTTTCTGTGGACAAGAAAATATTCTACCTGAAACATGAAATACGCATCAAAATATTCTCCAAATCAAACTTGAAGCTTTCAAATATTTCATTCTGGCAAAAGCTTCATTTGTGTGGGAACTCATAATACCTTAAAACAGCAATTTCCAAATCAGGCTATGCACTGGAATCACCTGGGAGTGCTTGCCAGCACTCCCAATCACCAGGCCCCACTCAAACAGACTTTAAAGATCTATTTACTTTTAATCACATTTGGAACTCCCACTCCACTCTCCGCTACCTCAAGTGACCATTCTAATGTGTTCATTGCATAGTTCTTTGTTTCTATGGTGTTCTTATAAAACATGCATTGTTGTTTTGTCAAGTAATTGTTTTTAATGTAAATGCAACTGTATTACAGATCTCATTATTTCTCTCTCTCTTTCTAACCAGGACTGTGTTTTTAAGATCATTTCATATCACTATGTTTTTATATATTCTCCTGTTTCTAAATTCTGCATTTTATTCCATCATGTTCATGCATGCATTCATGCCGATACCTCCCTGGCCTCCACACTGTTAAGAACATACTTGTTGAGATATATACCCAGGAGTAGAATTGCTGGGTCTAGAGGATACATGTTATTAAAATTTGACTAGTTGCTTTTAGATTGCTTTCCAGAATGGTTATATCAGTTTCTACTCATACAGATTTTTGATTCCATAATCCTAGGTTAGAACATGAGTATCTGCATTTTTAACAAATACTAGATAAAATAGCTATATAATTGCATTTAGAAACTACTATTTTAAATTAAACTACTAAAATTTTATTTAGAAACAGGATCTGGAAGAGCAAAGATCTTTTCTTGTATGCCATGCTGTGTTGTAGGATGAATCTAAGCTTAAAAGTAGAAAATAACAATGAAGATATTGGCAAATAGGCAGGCCAAGAAATGCCTGAATCAAAGTGTGATGTGGACAGATTAAACATAAACTATCTCCACATATTAAGAGTTAGTGACATGTAGTGAAAGTACCCACCTCCTGAAGTACTTTAATAAAACATGCTTTAACCTTCTTTTGTCTGGCCACGTCATCCATGTGCGAAACTTTGAAGGACAAAGGAAACTGACCAGGAAAATTATTACATGTTAGCATTTAAAATGAAAATCCAATAAAAACATGCAGGTTCTCCAAAGGGAACACAAGACAATTCTATTTTGACTGAGAATGGGTTTCTGCAAGTTTGAGCACAGAGTTACAAGGGCCAATCCAACATTAATATATAGTTCAAAGGATGAGACAGAAAGTTCATGAAGGGTTAGAGACAGATATCTATCTCCTTTCCATACCAGACTCTAGTAAAACCCTTAAAGGGTTATGACTAAGGAGTAAATGACAGGTTGAACTTAGCAATGCCATTTTGGGCAGCTCCAGTATCCCAGTTATTCCAAGTATACCAGGATGAAATCTGTACATGAGACTTGTCAGAATAAGATGCAACAGACATCACGTAACATTGTTTCCTGTGCTAGGCTGAGGCACATGAACTACCAGGAACCTGAGAGCCAAAGTGAGATGACTGCTAATCTACTTGGCAAGGGTTTAGAGACCCAAGCAAGGCCTGTCTTAAGAGAGCGATATGTTGAGGGATTAGACAGATCTTAGGGTTCCATTCCAAAATACTCTGCAGGGTGGGTAGATTAGGAGAAGTGATAGAGGATAAATAAAACAAATTGTGGACCAGTGAATTTTTAGCTTGTTCACTACTGGATACCCCATAAATCCTAGACCTCTGAAAGCTTTTGAGATCCAGATGCTGGTTTCAAATGATATATTCTGTGGTAAGGGAACAGGAAGGTAGGGTTAAAAAATAAAGAAATTGTAACCAACTCAAGAACACATGGATATAATTCCTGGGGATATGCCACTGGTGAGGGCCACCTTAATGTATTTAGCACTTTAAAATATACAATGCAATCTCTTAGATACCATCTCCTTTAAAATTCACATAAAAACATACAGTACTATAATTGTTATTTCACAGATGAAAAAGCTATGACTCAGAGAGGCTAAGTGATTTGCTCTAGGACATACAACTACCAAGTGTCAGGTTCAATACTAGAATTCACTCTCTTCAAAAGGAGAAAGCCTGAGTTTTGGTGTCAAAGGAATTCCAAATCTTGGCTCTACCATATATATAAAATATGTATATCCTCAGGTTACTAGATTAGAAAACAATCCTAGGTCTGACTTTCCACAAAATATAACAGTAACCCAATTCAGAAAGCCACTGCCTTCATTACCTTCACAAATAAGAGGTCATTAAAAAGGCAGTGAAGTTGTTCTTCCACTATCCCACGAAGGTGTCTTTGTAGGCACTCTTGCCGGTAATAGGCTGGGCATGTATCAATTTCAAAGAAGATGGCCATGAGGGTCTGGATGGCATAGAAGCACTGCTTGGAATCTGCTTCCTTCAGCATCAATGGCAATACCCTGGTGAATATTACTATGGTCATCAAGAGTCCCCTGTATGACACGTAGGTTACTCACTTCACCAGTCCAAGAATGCTGAATCTAATGACATAAGAGTCTCGCTAACAAGGGAAAGAGGCCTCAAGAGAAGTAGGTTCTGACTAAGAAAACAGAAGTCTTTACCTATGCCCTTCCTTCTGTGTCAGGAAGTTTATTTCAGCCAACAGCTGGCTTTTTCCATAGCCTTTTCCACCTTCATACAGAACTGCTTGTCCCTTCTTCTGGTGCAAACACCTCTGCTGTGCCATTTGGAAGGCTTCCAATTCTTTCTCCCGGTCTGTAGAGAGACAGGGAGCACCTAACACTCCTGGATATCAATAATCAACATTATTGATTGTTGCAGGCTTTTTGGTAGATACTCTATTGATTTGAATCAATTTGCAAAGCTAACTCTCAGAATGGCTTTTTCTCCAGAATTCCTGGAAGAATCTCATTCATTGATGGGGCTTCATATCTCCTTCCAGAAAATCAATTCTGAGTTAATATATGCTGGTCTTGAGGGCTTATTCCAGAGCCTAAGTAATAACATTCAGAAAAATTAGGCACCTTGTGGACACAGGTGTTTCTTAATTTTTTGTAAAAATTTTCTTAGTAACAATTTAGTCTTCAAAATCTGTCACTACTATGTAAAAATAATGGACTAAGAAGTATAGACTAAATATAAAGATAGGGGATATACAGTGTGGGTGACAACAGTCTTGGTGCTATTTTCATTATTCTAAGGATGATGAATTTTTCTCTAAAGATGATCCACAATAAGCTGTCTGATCTTAATAACTAAACTCTAACTTACAAAGATTAAATATTACTAAATGTTGGTGTTTCTCAGGCAGTTATAGGACTTCACCTGAAATTTGAATACTTGACATGGAAAAGAAATAGTAAATCCTCTTCAAAATGAATATAATTTCACTAAGAAAGTTGCTCTCTATTTTTTAATAAAGCTTAAAAGCATTTAGTCTTACACTGTTTTGTTTTTTTAAATCACATTTAGCTGTCTATAGCTGAAACAAATATGATTTAAGTTACAAAAGAAAACATACCTAACAAAGGGCGATTTTTGTTTCTCTTTCTTGCCAAATGTCTTTTTCCAAACATTCTGGGAAAAAGAACAAAGTGAAATGTATCTGTTAAAAATAGATTAGGAACAACTATCTTCATAAACAAATACTTTCAGATAATTAAGAAAGTACAGAGTTCTGAATAAAAAGGTTTTTAAAAACTAAAAATCTGGGGGGAGAGGGAGTAAAGAGGGAATATTATTGATTGTTCCAGGCTCAGGGAAGTAAATGAATGGTGAAGTACACAAAGAAAAAAAGAACAAAGATCTGGGTTAGTGACCTATTGCTATTCTCTTCCTGTTGGAGAACAGGATATTCACTGAAGAACTAGCTAAGAGCTAAACATAAAAGCTAAATCTCTCAGACACTAAACCCTCCTTTTGTGTGTCTTATTTTAGCATGCTAGTAATAGCAGCATCTTTTTTTATTTAGCATGCCAATTTCATGTAATCAAAAACTTACTGTTCTGTAAGAGATGAGAATGAACCTATCACACAATGATACTCACATACATCTTCTGTGGCCAAGATATTCATATATCTTCCCTGGGTTGGAGATGTTTTTCATCATTTTCTCCGGTAGTTTCTTGAAGTTGTAAGCAGGTAGCATGGATCTTAGATATGTTATCTCATCACAGGACACCAAACCTGGATAAGCAGTTATCATTCTGGCCGCAAGACTCACTTTTGGACCAATAACTGTGTCAGAAAGACAGGTGGAGAATTTTTGGACCATGTCTTCCACCTTCCTCCCTTAACTCACAAAGATAACAGTCCAATGTCCTATTCTACCTGTATATTCGTGTCTTGCTACTGCTCCAACCACGCCACAGAATACTGGTCCATTGGTGATACTGATGGAAACAAGTCTAGGGATCAGAAAAGCAATAATGGATAAACATACAGTCAGAAGCCTCCAAGTCAGGCACTAGATCTGCCGCTCCCTAGATCCAGATGTCTAGTTTTAGAGCTTAGAGCTTAGAATGGAAAATGCCAGAGGTTGCTGTTAGTCTATATAACATGAGGGGTACAAAGTACTGAATATTACGGAGAGAACCAAAAGAAACAGAATGGTTCCCCTAATTCAGGAGTTTTAGTTTTAGTTGGGGGTTATAATTAGTAAAATATTTTTTCTTTTTTTGACAGGGTCTTGCTCTATCACCCAGGCTGGAGCGCACTGGTGCAATCTCAGTTCACTGCAACCTCCGTTTCCTGGGCTCAAGTGATCCTCCCACCTCAGCGTCCCAAGTAGCTGAGACTACAGGCACACACCTCCACATCCAACTAAATTTTTTTTTAATTTTTGGGAGAGATGGGGTTTCATTAGTTGTCCAGGCTGGTCTCAAACTACTGGGCTCAGGCAATACACCCGTCTTGGTCTCCCAAAGCACTGGGATTACAGGTGTGAGCCACCACACCTGGCCAGTAAAAAAATTTAAAAAAATTTTACATCTGGGCCAGGCGCAGTGGCTCATGCCTGTAATCCCAGCACTTTGGGAGGCCGAGGGAGGTGGATCACAAGGTCAGGAGATCGAGACCATCCTGGCTAACACTGTGAAACCCCATCTCTACTAAAAATACAAAAAATTAGCCGGGCGTGGTGGCAGATGCCTGTAGTCCCAGCTACGCAGGAGGATGGCATGAACCCAGGAGGCGGAGCTTGCAGTGAGTGGAGATCATGCCACTGCACTCCAGCCTGGGTGACAGAGCGAGACTCCATCTAAAAAAAAAAAAAAAAAAAAAAAAAAATTTACATCTGTGGTAAGGCAAATATTTAAATACCATTTGAGAAAAAAAAAATTGAAGGGGTTAACTTTCCCAGAGTTATATAGCAAAAGCCAACAGTAGAGTCAGAATGAGAATCCAGGCCTCTTGCCTCTTAGACTGATATTATTTTTACTATACCATGTTGCCTCAGATAAAACTGAAAAATGAAAGTAGATCAAGAGATATCAATACAGGGTTAATGGATCAAATAATGCTAGAATGTCATAGTTAAGGAATAATCAGAATGTCAGGACTGCAGACAGAAGGCTTTCTGAAGTAAATTTACATTTGGAACAAAATTTTTCTAATAAGTAATATTTTAAAAATTCATTCATGCATACATACATTCATTTCATTCACTAAGCACTGAGAAGTGTGCAAAGTACTGAGTATTTGGCTGGATGTTTAAAATATCCTGCCCTAGAGAAGTTAAGTTTGGGAAGGAGGGTGGTAGGTTTGAGGGAGGTAAAGAGATACTTATATATTACCAAGACAAATGCTCCATATTAGAGACTGATATAGCACATTAGCAGAGCAAACAGAACAGATGCACTAATTCACACTGAAGAGTAGATACAGTATTCATAAAGGAGAGGACATTTGGTTGGACCTTGAAAGTTGAAAAAACTGATAAAGTGGGGGAATGGTACTATCTGGTGGGAAAAGGTAAAGGCTTTGAGATGCCTTGTATGGTCATGCAAAACTAAGTGCTTCAAGAGGGCTACAGCACAGACATGAACAGAGGTGTTTGGCGTAGAGAGAGGTAATGGGAGAAGTAGTCTTACCTCTGTAGGGACGAAAGAGTATTAGATAAATGAATTATTTTAAAAGAGGGCATATACTGTTCTAGGTGAGGCAAAAGCCCAAAGGTGGCAAGGAGTAATTCATACATAACAAAATAAGTAGATTTACTCACTGACATGAAAATTTCATGTGACAGGTAACAAGATATGCAGGTGGAGAAAGATATGCAATGACGCATAGTCTCATATTAAATCTATAAACAATTTTCAGTGGTTCAGAGAGAACATGAAAAGTAGCAATCATGTTAACACTATTATCTCCTAAGCCATCAAAATTATTTGTCTTCCTCAAAAGACAGGATTAAGGGCTCTTGGCTGGGTGCTGTGGTTCATGCCTGTAATCCTAGCACTTTGGGAGGCCAAGGTGGGCGGATCACTTGAGGTCAGAAGTTCGAGAGTCCAGTCTGGCCAACATGGTGAAACCCCATCTATACTAAAAATATAAAAATTAGTGGGCGTGGTGGTGTGTGCCTGTAATCCCAGTTGAGGGATTCTGAGGCAGGAGAATCGCTTGAACCCAGGAGGCAGAAGTTGCAGTGAGCCGAGATTGCACCACTGCACTCTAGCCTGGGCAACAGAGTGAGACTATGTCTCAAAAAAAAAAAAAAGTATCTTACCATTCATTCACTCAGCTCACTGCCCCCAAGGTGAAAAAAAGAGACACTTAAGACAAGAAGACCATGCTGTCAGTTCTGCTGCCATATGAAGAGTAAGACTAAAAATTTTTTAGTATTTCATGATGCTTCCTCTGCCTAAATACCCTTTCCCATCTTCTCCATTTGCTGAACTACTTTTCTTCTCAACCTGTCTCAAAAGTCATCTTTATAGTCAAGATTTCTTTGGTGCCTCTGGGGAGAATTAACCATTTCTTCCCATAGCACATTGTTGTAACTCCTATAGCATTTTATTTCTGCACTTCAATTTCATTGTATTAAAGTTAGTTGTTTACTTAGCTGAACTGGTAAAATCTTACTTCTCTTTATGTCCATAGCACTAACACAGTGCCTGGCTCATAACTGTGTCCAAGGAATGCTTGTTGAATGAATGCATTTATGCATGCCAGAAATTCAGCTATTAACAAGTCAATCATGAACAAATAATACTTTTATCATTTAGTTATTTCTTATTTCTTTCTATTATACTTTATAATTCCTCCTTGCTTTTCTCAGCAATCCATATTCCTTCTTTCCTTTAAAACCTTTCTGCATTGATAAAGAGTGTATTCTTTATTTGATACATGTAATTGTATATAAAGTATTTCTGGTACTGAAAAACCATAATAATGACATTCTGAGACTGCACTCCCTATGTCTCAAAAATATCCTGAAGAAATACTCAGGGAATCATCTTTCCTCTAAATGAGCTAAAAGCTGAAGCTATTTCTCAGATTAGAAAGAGGAACTCAGAGGATGTCTCAAGGTGAACAGGGTCTTTGAAAAAGAAGACATGGAAAGTAGTTTTGGGTCTGAGAGCTGATGTGATGCAGAGAGAAATGAGCAATGGTATCTGCTACCGAGGCCATGTAGGAACCTCTGAAGCTTTAGCATCTGCTCAGCATTTCCAAAATTATCTTCCTTAGAACATTAGCTCCTCTGGATGTTTAAAAGGTCTTTCTGGCGAAAAGTGTTTGATGACCAAGTAAATTTGGGAAATGCTGACTAAAACTAAATATAACACATTTCTTTCCCATAACACTACTCAGAACCTTTGGTATGTTAATGTTCATTGTGAACCTTGAAGAAGGAAATATAATTTGCGACACTTCCCAGACATATTTGGTCATGAAAATCTTTTCTTTTTTCATGAGCATATTAAGGGATTAATAACATTCTAACAAACACACTTTGGGAGATACTGAATTAGTAATTATCTTCAAGGAAAAAAATCACTGACCTTGAAACTTAGCTTTGAGGCTTTGACATCTGTTTGACTTAGCAGCATAACCTTTCTGGATCTTAGTTTCTTTAAAGAGGTCAAATTTGATGAACTCTAATACCCCGTCTAGTTCTTAACATCTATTATATTCTAAACTAAATAAGATGGAAATGACCAAGTTACAGCCTAAGAGTGACAGAAGACATTCTTAAGGGCATTGTAAGACAGTCTCTAAAGGCCAAAGAAATGACTCTTTTAAGAGTAAGGGCCAAGGGTGGGACCCTTGAAGGCCACAGGGCAATACAAACTTCAAGAACAGAACAGACCAGCACTGGAGGGGATGGCCCATGTGATGGTTAATACTGAGTGTCAACTTGATTGAAGGATTGAAAGTATTAATCCTGCATGTTTCTGTGAGGGTGTTGCCAAAAGAGATTAACATTTGAGTCAGTGGGCTGGGGAAGGCAGATCCACCTTTAATCTGGTGGGCACAATCTAATCAGCTGCCAACGAATATAAAGCAGGCAGAAAAATGTGAAATGAGGGAGACAGGCCTAGCCTTCCAGCCTACATCTTTCTCCCATGCTGGATGCTTCCTGCCCTCAAACATCGACCTCCAAGTTCTTCAGTTTTGGCATTCGGACTGGCTCTCCTTGCTCCTCAGCTTACAGACAGCCTATTGTGGGGCTTTGTGGTCGTGTAAGTTAATACTTAATAAACTCCCCTTTTTTAATATATATATATATGTTCTATATAATATATAACATAATTATATGTAACTATATATATATATATGTATTAGTTCTATCCCTCTAAGAGAACCCTGACTAATACTGCCCAGCATATCCACACTAGAGACAAGACTGGGAGGTAGGATGTAGGAGTATCTGCAGATCCCACCAAACCTGAAAGAAGTGTTAACAGTGTTAACATGTATTTGCCTTGGGCAAAGAGTCTGAGCATCTATTAAGCAACTGTAGCATCTTTCTTATTTCTAAAATACAGCTTGGATCAGATCATCTCTAAATTCCTTTCCAATATTAACATTCTATGAGTGTGTATCTATAATTATATCACATTAATAGCATATTTGATTCTTTTGGGGAGCATTTGCATTTTATAAGAGGCAGCTGGGGGATAAGTAATGAAACAACACAGGATTTGAAGACTGAAGATCTGGGTTTCATTAAAAGCTCTGCTATACGCTAGTAACTTCTCTTCTGTGACCTTAATTTCCTTAATGTATAAAAGAGGGGCATCACACTTATAGTCCCAGCACTTTGGGAGGCTGAGGTGGGAGATCACTTGCACTCAGGAGTTTGAAACCAGCCTGGGCAACATAGCAAGACCTTGTCTCTACTAAAAAAAAATAAAATAAAATAGCCCAGTGTGGGGCGTGTGCCTGTAGTCTGAGCTACTTGGAAGGATGAGGTTGAGGATGCAGTAAGCCGTGATTGTGCCACGGAACTTTAGCCTGGGAAACAGAGCGAGACTCTGTCTCTAAAAAACAGCAAAAAATAAAGAGGGATACAAATTTTCACATTGGTAGCATATACTAAAGTATTCTATAAATGTTAAAGCACTATTTACATGTTTGATACAATTTTTATCCATTTTGAATTAAGTTATGGCAAGCAAACCAATCTGATTCAATGTTAACACTGGAAGTAACTATTTTAAAAATTCATTCATGTACACACTTTCTCCATAGCTTTCTATTTTAAAAAGTCAATCGAAAACTTCCAACCAACTTTATCATAATGCAACTAGTGGGAAAATAGATTTTTCTATACCTTCATCTGGGTTAGGTTTTGTGAAAGGTGGTTCGGTGAGGGGTGGATGTGGAAGAGGGAGATCAGTTCAGTTTAAGGGCCAGAAAAGGCAATAAGATCTGTGAAAGACCCAGAATGAAAGCCAAGACAGCGCTAACCAGCTATGGTTCCTTACTATCTAGGTAATTTCTCCACAACTTCTCTCATACTCTCTCTTGTAGACAGGCAGCCTTTATTCTGTATCCTCTCCACAGGGATGTTATTTGCATCATATTAATTTACACATTTGCTTGTTCCTTTGCAGTGTTCTTGAATCTTGGTATGTTTGTTCTGTTTCTCTCCTTTTCCTGACCCGCTGAATGGGAATGTATCTTTATTTCCCCTGGGTATTCAGTACAGAGATCTGTATCTGGTGATTTCTTAATAGATCTTGTTTGCTCACTTTCCTTAGCATGTTCCCTTCACATTAGGCAAATTCTGGACTACTTGAATCCCTGCCACTTGTTACTGCCTCCTACCCTGCCTGAAGAGCCCCTGGGGCCTGAGAAGCTCCTCTCTGCCCCACCTTCCTCCTTACTTGGTCTTAGCAGGATTCTCCCAGCAGAAGCTAAAGATGCTGAAGGAGCTCTCCAGGGCATGTGCACACTCGTCTGGCTTCTTATCACCAGGAAGGCCGAAAACACAGAGGAACATGCAGCCCTGGGACAGATGACAAACAAAGAAATGAGACACTTACCTGGGAAAGGAATATGGCTTGCCTAAACTAAACCAGCTCCCCTGAATGAACCCAGACCCTATCCTTGAACACTCTCCTGTTGGAAATACAGGATTCTACATGATTCATAAAATGGAAACTCTGGGCCACAGCAACATAGACTTTTTTTTTTTTTCTTTTTGAGATGGAGTCTCGCTCTGTAGCCCAGGTTGGAGTGTAGTGGTGCGATCTCGGCTCACTGCAAGCTCCGCCTCCTGGGTTCATGCCATTCTCCTGCCTTAGTCTCCCAAGTAGCTGGGACTACAGGCACCCGCCACCATGCCTGGCTAATTTTTTTGTATTTTTAGTAGAGACAGGGTTTCACCGTGTTAGCCAGGATGGTCTTGATCTCCTGACCTCGTGATCTGCCTGCCTTGGCCTCCCAAAGTGCTGGGATTACAGGCGTGAGCCACCGCACCTGGCCAGCAATGTAGACATTTAAAAAATCTTGATTTCACTATTCAAAGAGCTGAAATTTAAAACACAAGAAAAACTGCTATCAAGAACTTTTCAAAAATTTAATTTCTAGTATATACCTTGAGCTAAGTCTATCTGCCCACATTTTCATCACTTATAACGTCAAGTATTAAGATTCTGCTTTTTTTCAAGATCCTTAATTATCTGAGAAAGACCTGATTACATTTACTTTACTAATAGAACCAGAAAAACATTCTTTATGCTTCACAAGGATTCTTCAACAAGAATTCAATAAAAAATGACATGGAGAGTAACCCTCAGTAACCCTGAAAATTAAACTAACAAGAACATCCCATTTCTTAATTAGCATTAGTTGAAGTTTTAATGTAATATAGCTTGTTACAAAATAAGTAGCAGGGAATTTGACTTACACTTGTGTTATGTGGGAGGACATCACTCCTCACTCACCTTTAATGCTGATGGGTCAAGTTCCCTTGTACTTACTTTCTCAAACATAAAGATCCGACTCAGCTGGCCACCCCCTTTCTCAATGACTGTGGAGATGTATAAGGCAGACTCCTGGATAAGATGACACAAATGCAACATCCATGCTGTCTTGTGGAACTCCAGGCTGACCAAAACCAGAGTCACCGTACGGAATTCAGATACATACTCTACAGGCTGGCCTTCATCAATCTGCAAAGACACATTGAATTACCTACCTGTATTTCCAACTATCAGCATCATGTTCAGGCATTTTCATTATGTATTTCATGGTATATATGAGAAAATAACTTAAGGGTCTCAGCAAAAACTTAAAAGAAATTTCAGTATAGAAGATATACAACCCAATGCACTTGGAACTAAAACTGACTAGGCAGAATTCACTGATTAAATCTGTCAAGATTTATTCTCTAAGAGTTAATTTGACACATCCATTAGTCATTACACTCTTACTAAGGAATTCACATATATGCATATATATATACAATCAGTCAACTTATATTTACCAAACATACACACTATACCCTTCTTACAGTGTACTAAATTGTTGAAGAACAAATTAAAAAACAAATATGGTTTCTACTTTCTAGGATTGAGAAATCTAGCTAAAGGTTTAAGACATGTTCATCACCGTATTATGTTGGCACAGATGGGTAAATCTGCTGGAATTACAATGGGGTGCTGGAGATTAACTGAGTAATACAAAAAAGTTGTCACTTACAATTGTACACCTAAGTTTATATGCACGCGTGCACACACACACACACACACACACAGACTATACGAGGATTCAAGAACTAGGAAATAACCTTCTTCAAAAGGTTTTTCATTATGTGTTTCCGCAGCTTTTGGTCAAGATCAGAGTGTGGATCCAATTCCAGTGCAGTTCTTAGAGTCTCTGAGAAAAGAAAAATAAAAGGTCCCTGGCCATGTGGAAAATTAATGTTTAAAATTTGGGGCTTAGGTAGAAAGGACAAAGTAACTTACCAGCACTTGTACGGTAATGTGGTAGATAATCGAGGCACTTGTCAAAATGCTCATCAAAATCAAATGGGTCAATGATCCGCATATCTCTTAACTACAGAAAGGAAACTGCTTAATTCTGTGCCCCCACACAAGAAAGGCTGAGGATTCTATCACCCTTGTTTGCCTTTTATCTCCTCAGCCTCACTGTTCTACCTCATCCATCTTCATAGGAGAATATTCCCAACCTCCCTCCTAAATTGAGTTCCAATGGTCGTTGGTTTGGCCAGGCAATATGTGAACACTATCAGAGCATTGCCCTGTGTAATAGGAAGGCCTTTTCAGGATGTGAATAGATGAAGCTAGCCTCCTACCTTCACAGCTTCATCCTCCCTCATGATTTCCACTTCAAACATATACTGCTCGCAGAGCATCCAGCAGTTCCAGGATAGGACAATCTCATTTGCCTGAGCCAAACGCTGAGCTAACCGGACATCATCTACATCCCGCCCAATCACCAAGAGGTATTGCTGTCGCTCATCTCCAACAATAACCTGGGAAATCCGACCCGCAGACAGACCTATCCAGAAAAAATGAGATAAATGGAGAATAGTCAAACTCAATTGGGAAACTATGCAACAGGAGGGGTCTGGAATCCCCACATGGCTCTATGCATCATGCCAATCTTGTTATTGCCCTCAGCTGCAGAAGTCTTAGGTGAGCTAACCTTTAAAAATAATACCTTACGGGACAAAAAACCAAACACTGCATGTTCTCACTCATAGGTGGGAATTGAACAATGAGAACACTTGGACACAAGAAGGGGAACATTACACACTGGAGCCTGTTGTGGGGTGGGGGGAGGGGGAGGGATAGCATTATGAGATATACCTAATGTAAATGACGAGTTAATGGGTGCAGCACACCAACTTGGCACATGTACACATATGTAACAAATCTGCATGTTGTGCACATGTGTCCTAGAACTTAAAGTATATATATATATATAAAAAAAAAAGAATGGAAAAACAAAAAACAAACAAAAAAATAACAATACCTTACGACCAGGTGCGGTGGCTCATGCCTGTAATCCCAGCACTTGGGGAGGCCGAGGCAGGCAGATGACCCGAGGTTGGGAGTTCGAGACCAGCCTGACCAACATGGTGAAACCCCGTCTCTACCAAAAATACAAAAAAAAATTAGCCAGGCATGGTGGTGCGTGCCTATAATCCCAGTTACTCAGGAGGCTGAGGCAGAAGAATCGCATGAACCCTGGAGGCAGAGGTTGCAGTGAGCTGAGATCGCGCCACTGCGTGCCAGTCTAGGTGACAGAGCGAGACTCCATCTCAAAAAAAAAAAAAAAAAAAAAAATTCTTCCCCCAGATTTCCTTCTCTTATGTAATACACCTGGAGATGGACATTTTGTCTGTCTGAAGATGGTGAAGGAGAGTAGTGGAAGAAGAATGGACAAAGGGGCACAAGGAGACTTTTTGAGTGATAAGTATGTTCACTATCTTTATTGTGGTGATGGTTTCAAAAGTGTATAAATATGCCAATGTATAGTATCAATTATCCTTAATAAGACAAAAACCAAAAGAAATGAAAGATGGCAGGACAAAAGAGATGCCATATAAAACAGAATATAATTCTTTACTACTGCTCCTCAAAACATAAAAGAACAGCTGGAGCCAACTTTTGCCCTTAAAGAGGTTTCTGAACCCTTGTGAAGGAGCTTTGTGTATTGAACTTCCCCTCCAATCCTGACTCTGCCGTTGGTGAAACTTTGGCCTCTGTATATAGCTTTCTTTTATTATATTGTGTTATATTTTTGATTCTGTCAAGCACTAACATAGTTCAAAAACTAAACTATAAAGAATATATATTTTAAAATCTTGCTTTACCTACATGCCCATCTTTACTATTTTCCTGATATTAGTAATTTTATTAGTTTCTTGTATATTTTTCCAGTGTTTCTATTTTCCTCCTTACACAGATGGTAGCATACCAAACATGCTGTTTTGTATCTTACTTTTTTTCACTTAACTATATCTTGGAGATACTGCCATGTCAAGACATCTTATTTTTTTTAAAGTTGCAGATAATCTTATTGAGTATACATATTATTTACTTAACCAGTCTCCTATAAATAAGTTGTTTTCAATGTTTTAAAATTACAAACCATATTACAATCAATAACCTTGCACGCGCAACATTTCATATGTGTGTAGGCATACCTATAGGATAAATGTCCAGAAGGATTGTGAGGTTAAGGAATAAATGTACTTGTAAGAGTAAATAGTATAGATGGTATGTAAGTGAAAACAAGACTTTTTAATATATATTTTTATATGGTTTAGTTTTTCTTGACATAAAAAGTACAATAAAGACAATAAAAATAAATATAATAAAGATTGCCAAGTCACCCTTATACCATTGTTCACTCACAGTAAGAAAAAGCTCATTCCTCAGACTCACCAGAGTACATTGTCCAGCATCTGAAGTTTTGCCTATCTATAGGTAAGAAAGGTAGTCAGTGTACTTCCAATTGGCATTTTTCTTATTAAGAATGTTGATCATCTTTTGACGTGTTAAAAGACATGAGTTTCCTTGTCTATATACAATTTACTCATGGCCTTTGTCCATTTTTCTCTTAAGAGTATTATTCTTGATTTCTAAGTGCTCTTTCCCTAGTAGAGCAATTCACCCTTTGTCTATATGAATTGCAAATATTTTTTTTCCCAGTTTATCATTTATCTTGAGGTTTTTATAGTGGGTTCCCCCTCGCCCAGTTGGATCACTCTTTTAGGAGGTACTACCTATCTTTAACTGCAGGTCCTGGCCTTCTCTGGTGTGATAGATCCCAAATTTCTCCTGTATCTCCAGACTGCATTTTGCCACCAAGGTAATGATGTCACTCAGTTGATTTTGTTCTACTCTCCAGAGTGCCAGGAGCATGTTCCCTGCAGAGACACAGGATAGGCTGACGGGGACCAAATATCTAGTCTTACTTGGTCCAGGGCAAAGTCCCAGTAACGTAGAAGATCAACTTGACCCAGTGTGGATATTATGTAAGTCATCAGGCAAGGTTTCTTGGTTATATACATTATGCTAGGTTAAAATACTGCTTCAGATCCTCAAAATCATCCAGTACATAAAAACATAACTAGGTAGAAGTTTAAATGATCCTAAGGATATTTTTGGTAATCTTCCTTCCTCCAGTATACTAACAGAGGAGGAGAGGTACTAGCAAAAGGTTCATAAAAAGTGGGTTCAAGTTCATATCTAATTTGATGGCTGGTTTTATTATGTTTAAATAAGGAGACAGGCCAACTCCGGGGCATACAGCTGTTAGTGATCTTGAGTTCTCCAGATAGGACATGCTTGACTCCTCCCCATCTCATGCTTAGCTTCTGCTATTAATGACCAAGTTTCTCATTAGTTTTCTCAAGAATGCTTTATTGGCACTTATTTTGCTGTCCTTCAATCTAAACAAAAATGCAAAGCATGTGAGAGTTTAATTTGGGCAAAGCTCTTCCATTAGACTGGGGGATCCTTTGAGGCACAGACTATGTCTTCCTCATCTTGGTATCCAGTACCTTTTAATCAAACAATGCTGAATAAACCAATATGCTGAATTCCACCTAAATATAGTCCTCCTCACTCACAGTCTTTTATGTATTTAGAAAAACTGAAAAAATACCTGTGATATTTAGGATATCCCCTCCAAAACAGAGAACATCTGAAATCAAGTAAGAAAGAGAGAGGAAAATGAGTCAAAATCAGATATAAACCAGATCAGGGCAGAATCATATATAGTCAAAAGAATGGCCTACTGAGTTTATCCTCATGTCATTCTTGTCCATTTGCTCACTCCAAGACTCAGGTTCCTTCTTCCTTCTAGTCATTTTCTCCCCAAATCTATCTGCACCTACATACATCTTTTCTAAAATGGAAGTATTCCTGCTCTCTTCAAAGCCACCCCATTTGTGATAGGAATCTTATCCCCTTTTACCTTCTCGAGAACTTCACACTGTTCCTAATCTCTCTACTGAAACATTCTCATCAATAGCAAAAAACAAAACCAAAACACACAAAAATAACCCACATATTCTTGGCTCTACCTTCTCTTCTGCCTATTAGCTCCATTTTTTTTTCCTGCTATATTCACAACAAACAAAACCCCAAATCTCAAAAAGTTGGCTACATATATTTTCCTCATAAATGTTTTCTCTGCCATTCTTTTTCTCAGCTTACTCCAATCTGACTTCCATCTCCACTACTTCAAATTATCAAGGTCATCAACAGCATTAATCTTGCTAAATTCAATACTTCTCTGACCTCACTGTACTTGACAGCTGTCATTTTCAACCCAGCTAGCTGCAGCTTTCTTCTAGAGACACTACCTCTCCTTTGGCTTCAGGAACACCACAATATCCTACCTCACTGGCTGTTTGTAGTCTCTTTTTCAGGTTCTTTCTCCCTTATCATAATCCTTCCCTGGAGTTCCTCAAGCCTCAGCCAAAGGCTCTTTCTCTTTATTTACGCTCTTCCAACATGAACTCAATCGGTTCTTAAGTCCCACTTTATGCCATCAACTCACATTTTCATCTCTAACAGGGATCTCTTCTCTGAGCTCCAGGCTCAATCATAGCTGGATTCTCCAATTGAATGGAGTCATTCCCCACTTGAAAGACTTACTGGCATCTCAAACTCAACATATTCAAAACAGAACTCTTGATTTTCTTTCTCAATGTTCAGTCTTTCCTGTCTTGGTAAATGACATGATCAATTCATTTATGAAAGCCAAAAAACTGAGTCCTTTTTCTCACCAGTTCCCACTGAAATTTAATGTATTAGCAACTCCTGTCTGTTGAACCTGCAAAATATATTTCAGGTTAATCTACCCCACGCAGCTCCCCTGCCATACCTCTACACCAACAATCTTCAGTCTTGACTGCACATTGGAATTGCCTATGAAACTTTAAAAGATCTTATTCCTGGGCCAACCTCAAGAAATTCTGATTTAAATGGCCTGGGGTGAAGCTTAGGCATTAAGATTTTTAGTTAGACAAGGTGGTACGGTACCTATAGTCCCAGCTATTTGAGAGGTTGAGGCAGAAGAACCTTTTAAGCTCTAGAGTTCAAGACAAACTTGGCAACATACTGAGACCCCAGTCTCTTCCAAAAAAAAAAAAAAAAAAAACAAAATATAGAAAAAAGAATAAAACAATCAAAAAGCTCCTCAGGCAACCACAGCTGAGGTTGAGAACCACTGCTCTAGACCAAATCTCCATCATCTTTCCAGGACAATTGTCTCTTCCAGCTTCTATTCTTAAATTCACTCTCCACCAGCATTCAATCTCCACACAGTAGCCAAAATCAGTTTTAAAGTGTTAATCAGATCATATTACTCCCCTGCTAGACCTTTCCAGTTTTCCTTTATACAGAAATATATAATTCCAACTCTTTACTATGGACTACAGAGCTTGGTGATCTCATAGCTACCAACCCCCAACCTTGCCTCAAACCACTCTTCACCCTGCAAGCTACATTTTGGCCTGCACTGGCCTTCTGTTAGCTCCTGGAGTGTGCCGAGCTTTCTCCTGTCTCAGGACCTTTGCACTTGGTATTCTGTCAGAAATGCTTTACCCCTAGTTCTTCACAAGCTGTTCCCCTCATCCTTCATGTGTCAGCTTAAATAATACCTCCTCAGAGGAGACTTCTATGACCACCCTGTCTCATACACTCCCCTATCCTAAACTTATTTTGTTTTTTTTTATACCACTATACTATGTTTATTTCCTTAATAGAATGTAGAAGCTACAATTATTGTTTACTTATTGTCTGTCCCACTAAAATGGAAACTAAATGAAGGTACTGTCTTACTTTGCCCTGTATTTCTAGTACCCAGCAGTTGCTGGTATTAGAGTACATACACGATACAGAATTTTTATCTTCCCCTTCATCCAAACCTATGAGAAAAAGCAAACACCCTTCCATATGTATTCCTTAAGGATAAGAGGTAAGTCAAATAATCAAATTCTTAATGGAGATGCCACAAAGTAATTATTCTGGTGAATCTCAGAATGATGGATAGAAACATATAGCGAGCTGTCAGTAAAGGATGAGAATGTTACCTAAGTACTAAAAGGTATAAGGTCAGAGTAATTTCTGTTGGGTAGGCCTAACCAAAAAGTCCAAGAGTGGGTTCTTGCCCCGCCTACACCTATTACAGTCCATGTCACAGAGTAGGTACTCAAAACATGGGTACTGCACAAATGAGTTTTCTTCCAGATACTGGAAATTTGGCAAATATCTAAAAACTTAATACATGGCAGAAAATAAGAAAACATCCTATTCCTTCCTCACAGGATCAAAATATAATAATAGAACAAAAAGATGTTTTATAAATTTGGTCTAAATACACACTTGAGATACATTATTGTTAGAACACTTTATTTTGAAATAAAATACAAATGTGCAAAGTAAATTAGCTCCTCCTGCCCCACCTTTGAACAATGAGTCAATAGAATGTAAGACTGGGTAGAATGGCAGATAACAGGCAAAGGTCTAGCTTTTCAGTGGCAACTTGAAAAAACCAAAGATGAATGATGCTAAAGGAATGACCCTTTAGTACCTGTTTTAAAGTACTTCTGGTCACCTTCTTTTATAAACCCTCGGGAGCCCAGCACCACACCTTGTTACCCTACAATGATCACTCACGCTCCACGATGTCACTAATGTAGTAACTGAAGATGTGGGCCAGTTTGTCCATGTCACGTTCCGACTTGCAGGTCAGGCTGAACCTGTCCATTAATGCTGTAAACCCTGACCAACAAAGCAGAAATTACCATGTTAACTCCAAATCCTAACTTTTTGGCCCCTTTCTCCCCACACATCAGCCTGGTGTAAAGGAAACAGATCTCTTCAAGCTGAGTAATTCCTTTATCCATTAACATGGTGTAACTTAGAAACTACTAAGGGCCAGGTTGGTTGCCGCTGCCACTGGGAATCCAGAGGACCACCCTCTCTGCTTCCAGGAGCTGGAGATGGTGCCCTTTTCATCTGGAGCCAGCTCTTTCCCCCACCCTCTTAGGCAGCTGCCTGGCTATGGGAAACAACAGGATCCCTCCTCACGTCTGGCCAGAGAATCACTCACACGGTGAGGACAGGCACCTGGTATTACCCATCTTCATATCCCTGACACAGAATAAATATTTGTTAAATGAACAACTCTAGGAGTGGCTGCTAGATAGCTACGGCCAGAACAATGGCAAGCACATACTTAACGACGCCAAGAATGAATTAATTGAAAGAATAAAATAACTGAAACAGAACGCTTAATAGAAATTGCTCGGGGTTGGGAGACACGGGTTCACAGCCCGCTGCGTGGTCCTGTAAAAATCCTTTCCTCTGAGTTTCAATTTCATCATCTTTGAGGTGAGCTCAAGGGCTGGGCTGGTTCATCCCAAAAGATGTCTTCCCACGCTAAAACGAAGACCCTCAAAGTTTCCTGCGGAAGCCGCGGGACGAAGTTAAACTGTGCCTTAGCTCGCGGGAGGCTAGGTCTGTAACCGTCGCAGCCTCCAGGGGCTTAGACCCAACGGCCGCTTCTCCCGCAGGCCAGGAGGCTGAAGTACCGGCCATCGCCCTCACCCGTCACATGGACGCCTAGGAGGACTCCCTGGGCCGTGGCGAGCTCGGGTTCCGATCCCCTGGGCTTCCGAAAGACCAGTAGGTCGGGAAGCAGTGCCGCCAAGCGGGCCTCCACCGGCCACACAGGCAGCTTCGCATCCCGCCTGCCAGTCACCATAGCTGCCCGCCCAGGTACCGGAAACAGGGTCCAGCAGCGTAGCAGCCAATCCGCATGGCAGGCTCTGTTGGGGGTCCTGCCGCCAACCAATCCGCGCAGGCTTCCTTGGGGCAACGCCAATCGGAAGCGGCTGCAGTCCCCGCCCCACCACCTTCCCACATCCATCGCGGGCCGAGTTCCGCGGGGAGAAGGGGTTGGAGGTGCTGCAGTCCGCGCTTTCGAAGGAGCAAAGCTGTCTTTTCTACAGGAAACGGGAGAGGTGTAGACGCTCCTGCGGTAAAGCCGTTGATGTGAGATAAATATCGAGAGGTCTTTCCCCCATACCACAGAGTAGAATCTTGGGTCATCTCTGAATTTGTTAAGGACAGGTTCTACTGGCATAAATCTAAGCCAAACCTCAAGCACAGTTTGACTAAATCTATCGAATACTGTCAGTCCTTTTCCTTCATTGTTGTGGTGAGTTTCTCCTTTTATCTGCCAGGGCAGGTCTCCTGCTCTCATCACGCATGCTACCCGGGGCTGTTTGTCTCTCGTGTGTGACAATGGCATATCGGAGGCTTCTAGTCTTTTGTTGCTTAGATTACCAGTGACCCTAAGGTAAAACAGTAACAAGGTGAGCATGCTGTGGATTTTTAACCATCAGAAAAGTACTTTTGTTTTGGTGTTCTGCCAAAACAAAATCTAACAAAATGTAAAAAGTATATCTTCACTACCTGTAATTCTAGAATACTTAATCAAGGCTGTTTTTGTGATAAGGGCCAATTTTCGTCACATTTTGATAAACACTTTCAGTAGTAGCATCAAATGTATGATCAGCCTGCAATTGACAGAAAATATCTCCTCAACAGGGTGGAAGGGCCAAAAGGGAAGAAATTAAGGGGAGATAAAGCTAAGAGGCCCAGACATTACAAGTTAGATACTGTTTACAGAGACACCGTCCATGCAGACATGTCTTGTTGGCAAAGGTCACAATTTCAACACTGGAAACACAACCTAGAACCCAGGAGTTGCAGATTCCCCAAAAGTCACATTACTTTTTGGTTATTTTTATAAATTTATTTTAAAAAATAACAATTGCAATGACATTAATGATCGATCACCTGTACACCCCCATACTGCTGGGGGAAAAACCTTCGATATAGTTGAGTCCCAAAGAAAAATCAAGACATTATTACCAGGCACCCTATAGCCACAAAATGCTCTGTTGGTCCAGTGGCATCGACACTGACATGTTCAATGTACCAGTGCAGTTAAAATATATACACTTTAAATTATCCTGCCAAAAAAAAAGCACTCAAGTTGCATAACTAGGCATTAAACCAATTATTCATTCATCCATTCACTCTTTCTCCATCTGTGAAGTCATCACTACAGTCACAAATAAAAATCAATAAAAGAACTAGAATCAAAGAAAAAATCCAAATGTCAATACCCTGCCCCCACTTTGTGGGCTACTATGGTGTGCTAAAGTGACCACAAGAAAAGGGTCATGAGCTATTTGAAATGCAATGACAAAATGACAACTGAAGCATTTCAAACAAAATTCAAACTCATCCCCCACAAATAAAAAATTCAGCAACAAGGTTGGCATTACTATGTACAAACTTACAGACACAAATAAATAGCATCTTCTAACTGTTGGCGGCTTAAGCACTCAGTTAGGTCTGAGTAATTTCTTTCTGAACTCTGCATCTTAAACTCCTAAATTAACCAAGGAATATAAATTCCTCATTGTTAGTAATCTATCCTCTGAAAAACTTGGGACTTACTGAATAACATTAATATCCCAAACTCTTGTAGAGAGCCAGAAGTTTCTAGTGAGCTTACCAAAGGATCAGCCCTTTGACATCTGGAAGCCAGGACAGATTACCAGATCCCTGGGACTAGATTTCACTTCCTGTTTCCTTTGCATAGCTCTGTACCTCTATTTCTATCATTACAATGATCTCTCTTTGTGGTGTTTTTAGAGGGCTTAATTTCTGTCTTAATACAGTTAAGCTGAAGTCAAAGAACCAATTTTTATTCTTGGTATTTGACCCCCAATGTTCCTCAGAATTATTGGGTTTTCCTTGTTTCCAGAGAAGGCAGCCAACTCTTCTGAAATATCATCTTAGTTCTCTCAGGGTTCAACATCTAAAAGAGAAATAGAATTCTGAGGCACAACCCATTCTGGGAACAGTGGCCCAGTTCCTGACCCTGCAGGCATGTTTCTTTCTAGTCTGCAGTTTATTCTCACAGTACGGATGCAATGAGAAAACCTTTCTGCACAAGGCCTATGGAGAAAACATGAAAACTGGCACCAAAGAATCAGCTGCCATGGGAAGAATGAAAATGCTCGCTTTCTAGGGCCAGCATTGTGCTGCGGGAGTGAAGCCAACATCCACCTCAAGCTTTAGTGGGTAACTTGGACTCTGTTCAGGACAGCGTGACTGATCAGTGCTTTCCAGAAATTGCCAAGGACCAAATCTCAGGCTTCTTCCTTTCAGTGCTTGTTAAAGGTTCTAGAGTGTGAATTACTCTCTTCATCTTAATGATCCATTCCAGGTATCCATCCACTGGAGAATCGTGCTCTATGATAACATATGGGTGTACATGCTCTCTCTCTCTCTCTCTCCCCCACTCTCTCCTCCTAGGATGAAACACATGAACCTTTCAGCTCCCCAAATGCTGTCACAAAGTCTATGATTGAAAATCTCTAGTTTGGCTCTCCCTTTAGGAGTACTACAAATGTCCTCAGTGCTTCAGCAAAGAAGTTGTTGAATAGTCTTGTTCTCTACTTAGGAAAGGCAGTTTCAAGGTTCAATATCCTCTACATTGTCTTAGAAGTAGCCACAGCAAGTACGATGGTCCAGATGACCAGTCAACAGAGGGACAAGCAGGCCACAACTTTTCAAAGCTAGAAAAAGAGATTCGGCAATGTATATTTTTAGTGCTTGAGGCTTTTATCATTCTATCCCCAGAGTTAGCTTTTTCTTGGCTAGAGTCCAGAAATACCAACCTACCATCTAGGCAGACAGGAATTCTTATTATTACCACAGATTAGAAGAATGTATCTCAGAAATTTATTGTTTCCATATCACAAGATAGAACTTCCTTGCTTGGAAGCCATCTCTGAATACAAAGCGTCCATTCAGTTAGTCAGTGTGAGATTCCCCCACCAGAGGGATAAATACTGTCTAGATTCCATGGGAAGGAGTGGGCTGCTGCTTTCCTGATTGCAG